TTTGATTGATCACAACTTCAAAAATCCTAACTTCCTTATTTTTAATCGGAATTTGCTCAAACTTTCACTGACTTGTTTCTCTCATTTTTCTACTCCTATTAAAACTAACTTAATTTCAGGGTGGACTTTCCCTTTAATTGTTTATCTTTCATTCTGTATTTGTATGTTTTAAATGTTTTATGAAGAGTGTTGAATAAACTTTGAATTGAATTGAATTGAATTTGCTACTCGTTCTCTGTTGAAGGCATCGTTCTGTGGTTCTACGTCTGGTGATAAGAGGCTTACTCATTTCAGTACGGCAGACTTTGAGGCCATGGGATATCACTTCTGTGACTCTCTCTTAGACTACTGTGATCCTGATCATTCAAAGGTAAGCACACATACTGCAGCCCTATATACATTGATTTCTATGGTAGGCAGACATACTGCAGTCCCATACATTGAATCCTATGTTAGGACACCATACAGGTGTAATTCAGCCCCATACATTTGATTTTATGTTAGGCAGACTTACTCTAGCCCTATACATTGAATTTCATGTTAGGCAAACATACTGCAGCCCCATACATTGAATGCTATGTTAGGACGCCATACAGGTGTAATTTAGCCCCATACATTGGATTTGATAATAGGCAGACATGCATTCAGTCCTGTTCATTGGTTTCTATGGTAGACAGACATACTTTAGCCCTGTACATTGAATTTCATAATAGGCAGACATAATTTAGTCCCATATGCTGAATTTTGTGTTATGCAGCTATGCATTCAGTCCAATGCATTTGATTTTATGTTTGGCAGCCATAAAGGTCAAGTTCAGTCCCATATATTGGATTTCATATTGGAATTGAAAAGAGGGATTATTACTTGCATCAATGGGTAGAGTTAGAGTGTTATAGTGAATTTATCACCAGATTTGTGGATCAGCAGGTATCTGTTTGGGTTTTGAAAACCTTATATCACAAACATCCTTTAGCATACTTTAATCCACATATGCCACACTTTACCTAAATGCAATAAGAAGGAGTTCATTGAAAGGCACTGCAATTATAGTAACAGTTGCCAGAGATAAAGCTTTCATAGTTTGAAAGCTCTGTATGCATTGGAACATTGTTTAAAGATACATGTATGATATGCACCAGAATTTTATCTTCAATCAGATTTGTGCCGGCTTGAAAATAAGGTAGAAGAAAATTTGAGAAGTTTTAGTCATGAGACAAAGGTGAATGTTTTAATGTTGACATAGTGTAAGACAGTATTTGAAAACAGAATATTCTATTTCTATCTGAATAAAGTAACCTCACAGAAAACAAACTGTTAGAGGGATAAATGATATTACATTTACATTGGAAAAAATACATTTCCCCCATTAATTATTGATACTTAAAGTTTTGAATACTAAATCTACAATTTTTTTTGTCTCCATCGTGCCTTGATCATGAAAATGGTAATTTGCATGCAATCATTGGTACATGTACAAGTATATGTTGTGTAATCATAATGGTGATATACGTACACTGTACATGTATATCATGCATGCTATAAGTATCTGTGCAAAATTTACAGTTCATGTTTGTTGCTTTTCTCTCTATCTCTCCCTTTTTCATATGTATTTGTCTCCTTACATTTGACCTTTGATGTTTCCTCTTATATTACCCTATGTATAATTGCAATACCCCTGTATATGTCTAGTAGATGTTTGTGATAAGACTGAATGCAGTACTCCTGCTTTTAATATAAAGTGAAATTATGTTTATTGTGTAGGCACAAAATCATTATATTTCTCTTATTTTTTGTTGTATTTATCTTGACCTTTTTTTCCTTCTTATTCTTAATTTTCTGCAAATTCTAGTTTGAATGCAATATTGCAAGCAATCATTTTTGGAAATTGTAGCTGCTGGAACCTGATATATCAATCTTCATAAATAATGTTGTGGTCAAAGATGTTTTGTATTTCATTTTCTTCTGCAGTTATCTTTTGTTTCATTTTGTGTATATAAATACAAGTGCACATCAGATCTCTGTTAGTAATTTTATTGTGATTATAGTTAATAGTTGTGATTATGATTATAGTTCTGAGGATTCCACTGCCATTATGATCTTTCTTCTCTATTTTATGTTGTACATATTAAATTATAAGCCAAAGATCATTGTAGATTGGTACATTTAGAGGAAACATTGCTCAGAAAATTAACAGGAAAAAAAAAGGAGTTACAGGGGTATCTTTTTTTTTTACATGGAAACCATTTTAATAAACAACTACAGTGAACTACGGATGTCAAAATTGTAACTATACATATTCATGTAGTACGTGAATGTCCCTTGATCAACCTATTGACATATATGCTTGACTATTCACTCCCTCCCTATCCTCTCCCTAGCACAATACAATCCTATCTGATCTGGATGAGATGCTTAGACACATCTTTGAAAGCTCATCTAGAAAGGAAACTAGAAGAAAAAAGCCCAGAGCAAATATGGGATTCTTGTATAATTATAATATGTGTCCCCTATCCAATATTTGACACCATGACTCCATCTTTCTCTCTGTAGTACAAAACAATCCTATCTGATCTAAAGGAGAAGCTAAGACAAGAGATGTTAGCTCATCTAGAAAGGATACTGGAAGAAAAAAGCCCAGAGCAAATTTGAGATTCTTGTATATTCTCTAATCCAACATTTTGACTCTTGACTCCCTCTTTGACTCTTGCCTAATTGATTGATTCCCTCTCTTTCTCTCTGCAGTGCAATACAATCCTATCTGGTCTGGAGGAGAAGCTAAGATCAGAGATCTTGGCCCACCTGGAGAGGACCGGTACACCCCTCCCTTCTGATGGGTTCATTGACCTTTCAGCTGAGTACCCATCAGGTCTGGAGTCTAGGTAAGCAGACATTCAGGGGGTGTTTCACAAAACTTGTTATCAGTGACAAATGACAAATATCAGTGACAAAATCTACTGATAACCAATCAGAAGCAAGGATTTCACTAGCTTGTAACAAAAACTGTCATTTGTCATTGATGATATTTGTGAAGTCTCTCAGCAATGGAGACTTGTCTTTCCTTATTATTATTAATTATAATTTATTAAAGGGATCCGGTAACTTTGTCTCAGATTATGAAACAAAATCCTGGATTTAGCTCATGCTGCAATCATAATTATAAACCTTTAGGTCAGTCAGGAACCCCATGACCTTAACAAGCCGATTGCCTGTCTGATAAAGATATTAATGATTGGAAATCAAAACCAAATTTTGCGTTTTCCTAACAGTTTTCATAACACTACAGTCTATTGGGGAAAACGAATATGGTAAAACTGGTCACTCAAAGATTTTTACTTTTTGGAGGCTCTTCTTAATCATTTTGAAGTGCGATTTTGTTAGGGCTTCAATATTACACCAGATCACAGACACTGATAACATGTACATTTAGGGCCGTGTATCTCAGATTTAACATTGTTAAACAATGCATTCAATAAATCCTCATGATCTTCTGTTGTTCTTTCTCTCTAGTACTACCGGTTCAGACAGCTCAGCTGACGATGGTCTTCCTGTTCATCTCATAGCCCTAGCTCCTAAGGTATTAATCTCTAAAGCATGTCTATCATATGCTCATTGACACAAGGTTTTAAAATGTTGTGATACATGTCGTAAGAGCCTCTTAAAGGGAGAAGGTTGTCATGTGCAGATGGTCATAATTTTCTGTCAACATTCAAAGAATTCAAGTAATGTGCTATTTCGTGGAAAAATGAACAAACAAGGAAAAAAACACATTCGAGAGGATTGGGATCTAAAATTCTGTGTATTATTTGAGTTGGTATTGTTCAAACTAAAAATATATATAATCATGTGGAGAAATTTAGAAACTACTCTAAATATTTTGTATTGTATGAACAGCTGAGCAAGAAGAAGAAGTTAAAAACAAGAAAGGAACGTGACAAGAAGCGTCACAGCTCAGAGAAGAACAAAGAGAAGGATAAAGACAAGGAGAAATCAGGCAGTGCATCTAGCAATCATCAAGCAGATGCTAGCAAGGACAGTGAAGCCGAGAAGAAAGCTGCAGCCAAAGATAAGAAAGAAAAGGTACGTACGTATATCAAGTAAGGCCAAAAATAAAAACTTGTTGTATTGCCCTTTGGGTGTCAAAACATGGATCGGTCGGTCAGAATTTTTTTTTTTTTTTAACTTTTTTTTTTTCGCCCTCTTTGGGCCGATATTTTTCAGATTTGAATGTTTTTTGTTTTTTTTGTTTTTTTTCCCGCCCTCTTGTGGCTGATATTTCTTAGTTTTTAATGCTTTTATACATGTGTTTCAGCGTCATCATTCCATTGATATCTTTTTCACCTCATAATTATCCATGGTTTGTACGAGTGAGAATTTCTAAATAAATTCGATTTTATGCATTTATATCCCATTTAAACAAAACAAAATACATATTTTTTCATTCATTAATAAAAAAAAATTTAAAAAACGGTTTAAAAAAAAAAAAACTTTTTTAGAATGCTGACCGTAGATTTTCAGATTTTTGGGTCGGTTGCAAAGGGCAATACAACAACTTTTTATTTTAGGCCTAATATACAGTCAAAATTCTACTATACAAACTTTCACACTATGGTACAGTGTATACGTGGAAGGGCCTTGGACTGGTTCGAAAGCTACCTCAGTGGTAGGAAACAATACGTATTCACAAATGGATTAGACTCGGCCTTTTGTGGAGTTCCACAAGGATCCCTTCTGGGGCCTCTTTTATTTATATTGTATATGATGCTAACATGGATAGTGGGGCTGAGAGGAAAGCTGCAGTCAAAGAAAAGAAAGAAAAGGTAAAGGAGAACCAATGCCTACATGTATCAAGTAATATACAGTCAAACCTGCTTTAGTGACCACCTACAACAAGCACATTTTTTGTTTCCCTTTAAAATGGTTTCTCATTGAAACATGTACTGAAGGAACCTGTCTACAAAGACCACTTTTTGTGTTTCCCTTGGGCGGTCGCTGTAGACAGGTTTGACTATAGCATACAAATACAGGTGTTATGGTCTAGTGGATAAGTCGCCCGACTGCAGATCAGAAGGTACGGGGTTTAAATCTCAGCCCGGCATTAACGCCCTTTGGCAAGATGTCCATCTACATTTGCCACTCTCCACCCAGGTGTGAAATGGGTACCCGGTAGGTTGCAAAAGTTAATGTAGTTCGCTCAGCATTGTGAGCATCTGTATAATGACGCCTGGCTGGAATGCTCCCCAGGGAGTGGATAAAGTGCATACGTCGTGTGCGGGCAAGCCTGAATCAGATGACCTGGGGGCGTTTCACAAAGCCTTTTTTCAATGATAAATGACAAAAATCAGTGACAAATCTGCTGATAACCAATCAGGAGCAAGGATTTCAGTAGCTTAAAACAAAAACTGTCACTTGTCACTAATGAGAAGTTTTGTGAAACACCCCCCTGGTGTTGTTGACCATCTTGACAAGGTTTTGTTGACCTTTTTGATTTGATCAAAGAATGAAACTAGCCAGTCTCCTTTAATTTTAATTCAGGTGTCTACTTCAGAACGGACCAGGCGAGAGGTTCAGGTACATGTAGTAGAGATTGTATGCAGTGTATGATTGCAGAGCTTGGTGTTCAGATTATTCTATGAATACATCCACAATTTTGGGGCACAGATGAGAGCCTGTCATGGTGATCTGACAGATGCATTGTCCCAATTTGTTCAGGGCTTTATTTCAATTCAAAATCTTCGTTCATCTTTTATAAAAAAATATACAATAACAATATACAATATAATGGCTAGTAACCATGTACACTATAGACACATGGGAGCAACTTTTAAAAAGTGTGATGCATGAGAACTCAGTGGTGTGTTTCACCTGCACGTCTTACCTGAGGGTTATTGGTCATGTTCCCTTCCCTTAACGTCTGCTTTACTGAAGATAAAGGGTAAAAAGGTAAAAAGTACATGTACGAATTCCGGAAGGCTCCACCTGCTGACCGCCTCCAGCAGAATCCAAAACCAACCAGGCAAGAAGCCCGGCAATGGGAAGCAAACACGTCCCTTCCATTCTCCTCTGAATTAAATTTCAGACACTTCATTCAGATCTAGATAAGACAAAAGAAAGACGCCACCCTCCCACCACCAAACCACTCTCCCGTTCGATTCAAATTTCACTAGGGCCACCCTATCACGAGAGAGCATCTACAGACGGAACATCGCGAAATGAGGGAGTGCAAATGAGGGCCGTTGTATTTAACTTGGGGTTAACATCTATTTATGTGTATCAACCCATGGGTTCTTAGAAATAAGCAAGAATCGGCATGAATCCATTCACACATTCCACATCACATACAATATAGATACAATCTGAGCATGCGCAGATAAAGGTCACTTGAACAAAATTGTAAAACCCACTGAGACCAATACTGGAAACATGCTCACGAAACTTGCTCATGCTCATGCAACCATTATTCATGCATGCACCAGTAATGCATTCTATTGAACACAGGTGGAAGTTATCTTTTCGAGAGGGCAAACAAAGAATCACCTCCATGCATGACTTTAGGTGTGATTATTCCAAAAGGCACAAAGTTGGAGTTATCTATGTTTAAAAGATATGTGGATATTTGGGGTCATGTGATCCATGTGCTAACTACGAACTGGTCTATTACCGTTTAATGTTATTGTTATTGTTAAATAGGTGGATGGAATTCGGAATGAAGGACTGTCTATAGCGACAGCGAGAAGTTTTGGGAACCCCCCAACGAATGCCAGAACGATTGTAAATGAGACAGGAGTGAAGTGGGTGTGTGGGGTCAGGCATTATGTTGTGAACTTTTAGAAGAATGCGTTTCTCATATAACATACTAATAGGGGGAGGTCTTTTTGAATTACTCGTTGGGGAATTTTCCTTGGTTTTAATTTGTTTTTTATTGCTTTGAGAGATTCCCAAACATGCACAGAAAGTTGAATGTAAGAATGCTTTGAATGAGCGACTGGTAGAAGAGGAATAGAATGCTGTTATCAACTCTAAACCTCTTCAGTTTTCTCAGAATATACAATCTTTGGCTTGTTTTACTATAGCTACAATCTGTGAATTCCTATTCCAATTTAACTTCTCGTCAACAACTGTTCCCAAGTATTTATATAAACCTGTGCAATACAAAGACCATAGATTACCAAAGATTCCAGTAATTGGGGTTTCGGTGAACGGCGGAAGTCAAAATTAATTTCCTTAGTTTTGTTTACATTCAGGACCAAATGACGACTATCGCACCAGTCAACGAACTAGGTGGGATTCATATTTTACAGAATCTTTTGAGTGGTGCAAGAGTATGCAAGTTATTCGCAGGTTGACTTGGGTCAATTAGAGAGTACAGTGAGCTATTCTATTGCAGAACTGAAAAGGTCTGTTACTGTTCTAGATGTATGGGTCATTTTGATGTGGTCAACTATGGTTGCACTGTGGTTTGAAGGAGCACTGCTATGTGTTGGTGAAGGTTCTTGACTCTCACACTCAAGGTCCTAGGTTTCATCTTGTTTGATGCTGACATACTTTACAAGGTGTTATATGTACCATCAACCCAGGGTAGTGTTTCACAAAGACTAATAAGATCGACTTAAGTTGGACTTGAATTATGGCAGGCTGTTCATGACGCTGTTTGCTCTCACCATTTACTGGCATTTGTCTCTCAAAGCAGGCGTGGATCCAGGAATTTCTTGCCGGGGGGGGCACACGGGGGGGGCACCGTGTGGGAAAGAGAACATTATATATTTTTTTCTTTTATCAAAAAAAAAAAAAATCGCAACGACTCAGCTAGCCACTGAATAAGCAGGGGAGGGGGGGGGGGGGGGGGGGGGTGTAAGGTCACCTTTTTAGGTCAGCCATTTTTTTTTTTTAATTAAAAAAAAAAAAATTATAAATATATATTTGGCCGGGGGGCACGTGCCCCCTTTTCCCCCCCTGGATCAGCCACTGCAAGGGACGTACAAATCGTGGTCACAAATCTACAAAATTTACATCTTTGATAATTCATTATTGAAGGGAAAAAATGTAAATTCTGTGGCATCCCCTGAGAGACCAAGGGTGAGAGCAACCAGTGGCATTAATGGCCTGCCATAGTTCAAGTCAGTCATTATTCCTAAGTTTCATTTGAGGTGTTCACACTTGTACAAGCATTGCTTTTTAGTGGACCCCTCTGTTTCCAACATGTATTTCTTAAATTTTTTTTTTTTTTTTTTTAAATCTTAGTCTTTGTGAAACACCCCCCTGACAATGCTGTGGTAACAATAATTGCAGGGCCACCTGAAAGAACAGTATCCATTGAAGTCACCCTGAGTAGATAAGTCCATTTCATTATTATTATTGCTGTCTAATTTGTCTACTGATCTTTCTCAGAGGTCAAAATGTTGATTCATTTATAGGAAGGAAAAATGGTACTTGGTTAAGTGATGCATCTTGTAATATTATAATCCTGCTCTGTTTATCCTATAGGAAAAGCTTCGGTATCGTCATGGAGACAGATCTTCCCTTCATTCAGCAGGACGAGGAGGGCGCCAGACGCTCTGCCGATCCGGGTCTGGAAACCCGAATGAGGTCAAGAATCTCAAGAAGGTATGTCTCTATACAGAGAGAGAGAGGGGGGGGGGGAGAAAATCATGACGGAACCTTCTAGCTATGCTGCTGACAATGACATTTATTTTGATGTAGTTGCATATCAGGTTTACCTATTTCTTTGTAAGGTTTCAAAAGAAAAATGAATCAATATATTGAGAGACTGAATGGGATAGTATTAAAGCTATTAAATAACCCATTTATACTTTTCTCTCTATTTGTTATCAGAAGCTCTTAATAATGCTTACCTACTCCAATGAGTTTTTGACTGGTCAGTCAGAGCCCTAGTATCTTCATGTGGTATATACATGTAATTATGAATGATTTGTATCGTTCCATTCTTTTTCTTCTTCAGACTGAGTATCTAGAAGCTCTGACCAATGCCTATCTGATGAGTGGAATCTTAAAACCTGCTACTGAGGGTGAGTGTGAAAGATCAGCTTGAGTTCCACTAATGCAGTTCCATGTTTGGATAAACTACATGTATCTTAATTGATTATATTTGAGAATTCTTCATTATACAGTATCTTCATGATTTGCTAAACATTTGTTACTATAGAAAGTGAAAATGTTAACTGGGAGTTTCTGGATGTTTATGAAATGATAGAAGGGTAGTTTGTGGTGTTTTAGGGTCACGTTGAAGGTCTATGTCCTCATGATAATGTTTCTTTAATAATGATTTTTGTATTCTTTACTCCTCAGAGCCAGCCACATTGCACTGTTCTACAGGAGCTCATTTCTTATGAGCTCAAGAGTTAGAGCTGGGTCAGGGCCCTGTTTCATAAAAAATTGTTATTAAATACAAGTTACAATACTATTTATAAGCTATTGAAATTGTAGCATTATATTGAATGAGAGCAAATTCGGCATAGAAACTTAGTTAATTTGTTATTGATAAAAAGTTTTATGAAACATAGCCCAGGCCCTAAAAGGTGACAGCTGGGTCAAGTTGAAGGTCTATTGCCTTCATCATGAGAAACCTACTCATATTGATCATTGTACATGCATTGTACTTAATCCTCAGAGCCGGCCGCACTGCGCTATTCTACAGGTAGCCATGGACTAGGAGCCCCAGGGATGCAGCTAGGTCAGGTGGAAGGTCTATGCCCTCATCATGAGAAAGCTTTCGCTGAACAGTTTGTGGCTAACCAACTAGCTGGCCTATCCTTTGCAGGTATGTTCCTGAACCCCATTTATATTCCAAAATTACCACTTTCACGTAGTGGCCAACCATTCCTATTTTGGAGGAATAATTCCTATTGTCTGGTCTTCAAGCTATTGGTCTGAACCCTAGATTCCTCTCTTTTTATGAAATATTTTTTGTGGAAAGTATGCAAATTAAACTGTATTCCTAATTTTGCATTGAGGGATTCCTAAATTTTGATATGAAAGGTTGGCTGGTATGCTGTCATTTAACTAATGGTTCTGTCAGAGAAGACAACACATGTGCAACACAAGGCTCGGCACTATGTAAATTATATTCTAGGAAAGTCATTTCAATGTATCTAAAGTAGTGTGGTTCTGCTACACGTACCTGTATGAATTTTATGGCAAAATGGTAACAATTAGAAACCATTGTGATTTTCATATCTGATGGTAATTGTTTTCAGTCCCTTCTTGCTTTGGTATAGTCTATATTGGTTAATCTTTTAGGTTGTTATCGTTGTCACAGATGATCAATACAACAGGAGTCCCATCACTGTTTAAACCCTTTGCTCTGTCTAAGCCGGAGGCTCTGGTCACTAATCATTCCCATACCATTGTTACAGATGATAAATACAACTGGAGCCACACCTCAGTGGAGACCCGACGTACCATCGAGGCCGCCACCTCCTCCAACCACTCAGCCCCACCCAGGGAGTGCCACGCCCCTGAACCAATCCAACTCATCTCAACCACCGCCCCTCACAGGCATCCTATCCGTGCTACCAGTGCTCACCGCACCCCCTCCAGGCTGGGAGGAGGGCGGAGGGGGGCGTCGCCTTCCAAGTCTGTCGTGTCACCGGCTGATGGGATGGCAGAAGCTACAGGTGACTACAGAAAACCTGGTTCAGACTTCATCAAGAGAGGTCAGTGTGGGTTATGAGCCAGAGCAATATAACACTGAGTCTCCATAGAGTACCGAAGCTGTGACGTCATGCAAATCTATTTTTAGAATTTCTCGATTTTTTTCTTTTTTTTCTTTCGGAAAGTGAAGAAAAAATTGAGAAATTCTAAAATTAGATTTTTGATGACGTCACACTTCACCACTCTATAGGAAATCTATTTATTCAGATGGTCATATCTCAGCCAATACGTAACATATTCAATTGCTTTTCGACATTTGGAAATTACTTTTGATGCTCTTTTGGAAAATGAAGAAAAAAATAAGAAATTCCAAAAATAGATTTTTATGATGTCACAGCTTCGGTACTCTATGCAATTGATAGAATTTTTCCTGATTTCTGAATGAATCCTCCCTGAAAGCTGAATGCATATCTGGGGTAATTGTCAATAAGATGTGTTGTTTTAACCCATATTAACTAGTGTGACTGTGATGGAGCTTTAAATGCTTTGCAAGGTGGATTTGAAACATACAACAAAAAAAGTAATGTTATGATTATTTTAACTGCAGATTTCACTTTATATATGTATTTGTATCTTCCTACTTTAGGGGTCTCATCAGAAGCCTTATCTCTTCGCTCAAATGGATGTGCAACATCTTCTACGTACGCTGTAAAGGAAACGTAAGTCACTATCCAATCTTTTCTTTGCATTTGTTAGGCTAGGAAGTTACCAAAACTAATGTATTTCTATAGAAATAGTTAGAGAATGCTGATGTCTAGGGCAACATTTATAGCACTGTATTCTCATGAAATATCTTTAACCTGAAAGGAACTGAAGGGATAGAAGTAGTGTCATCGTAAGAAATTGTCAGTACGTATGTGAAATCATCACTTGTTTATGTTTTGATCTAGGGCCCGTTGCATAAAACTTACCATTGATGATAAATTTGCCATCAATGGTAACTCCCATGGGAACGGGGCTCAACAGCCAATCAAAACCAAGGTTTCCATGGTAGTTACCATCAATGGTAACCGTAAGTTTTGTGCAACGGGACCCTGATCCTTTGAAATTTCCAAGCAATGGAATGAATTAGAGAAGCTTTTAACATTTGACCAACTTGTGTTACTAATTTGATCAATCATATTTGTGATGTTTCCTTCAGGAGTAAATCAATGGAGGCACCAAGGCAACCCCCCTCGATAGCACCTGATATGCCGCCCTCTAGGGGTGGTCAGAAGCCAGGTAAAGCCATGACCCCGTCTGGTTATCAAGAGCTGGTCACACGCAAAGGTAGGTAGGGCTGAGTCATGTCAGATATAGAAGAAATATGACATGGAGCATTGTGAAACTTGCAAGCCTGCGGTGATAACTATTCTCAATAAAGGCATGGTTTGGTACATTTTCTACAAATTGGTCTCTTCCATGCTAATTCTAGCTCTGTCGTATCCTTGTTAGAAGGTGTTTTAAACTAATTTATATCCCTCTCTTCCTTAAGATCTAAACTAGATTTTTATTTGCTCATATTCCCAAGTCATTTTAATCTCTTCAATTTTCCTGTACATACATGTACATGTATGAAATTTGTGATACCGGTACATTTGATAGATTATTGTCAGTTCTGCAAATGAAAATTATCCATTACATTTCACTGACAAAGACCAGCATTTGCATCATGACAGGCTTGCTACTGAGCATTCCATAAATGATAAGTGTAAAATTTGCCCTCTAATGTCTAAAAGAGCCCTTTGAATGAGTCCCTATGAAAATTTTCTGTCCATGGTTGAAAGGTATGTAATCAATGAATACGAAAGTGTGGCTCAAAAGTAGCCCTCATTTGCTGTTGAACTTTTCAGATTCATATCAGCACCAATTTCATTTCATCAGGCTTGTCATCTGCACTATGGGAGAACACAATAAAATTCTTTCATTTCAAATTTCAAGTTTTATTTCCACATTCCACAAAATACATATTATTGAAATTAAACATTTAAAGGGCTGTCAGTCATTGCAATATAAAGAAAATGTAAATCATCAAAATGAAAAAAAGTAAAGCGGAATCTGAGAAGATTTCTAACTTTCTTCTTATTGGTCCGATTTATTTCACCCTTTCACCATTCTGTCTCTCATATTTTTCTTTTTTCATACAAATGAATCAATTACAGTGGTTGGGTTGCCCCTGTAATTTATCCCATATACTTAGTAATCCATCTTCATATGTAATTATTGTGTTTAGACATCTTTGGAAGATGCATGCGGTGAACTAATGCTTAGATTGGGTTAGCTCTTTGGTTGAGTAGAACATTTGCATTACCTGTCTTCATAGAACTGAAACATAACATATCTCTTGCTCTGTAGCTTATAGACCATTTACAGTTAGTAAAATGATCATGACTCGGTAATCATATGAGAGGTCCATCACAAAAGCAGGCATGTGTTCTAATAAACCTTTGAACCTGAAGGCTTGTTCAGATAAGGTAAGGTAAACAGACGCAAAAGGCCACCATGGCTTTTTAACGTATAAAACGAATGGCAACTGCGTGCAACAAATTACTTGCGCCTATTAACTGAGTTCTGTGTTATAAGATGCAGAAATTTGGAGAGTATTACACTTTACGTCATCATGAAAAAAGAACGCTGCGGTTTTGTTGCGTCATATCTGTCTTGTCTCTGTTTAATGCCCCTTTGTTGATTGAGACTGAAATGGGTCTTGGGTTCATCTTCTCTAATAGATTACATGCTACTTGGTTTCACCCCTAGAACTAACTTAGACTTTGATAGTTAACTTTGTATCAAAGGCTGGTAACTTTTCCAGAAAATACTGCTTTAAGATTAACAGATTGCTATTTTAGTGCTTCATTTTGTAAATAAACTCCTTTCCTACCTGGTTTCAATACCACCCCTGCCAACCACCTACCCCACCCCCAGGAGCGAGGTCAGAGGTCAGAGCTACCCAGGGGATTCCACTCCAACTCTCTGTCGTCATGGGAACCACACACTCCGCCCTTAGTCCGAATGAGGGCGGAGCTGACCCCTTAGGGTCCCAGCAAGGGTCAGTGTTTCATGGCATGATCGATCCCCACAGCTAACCCATGTCATTGTGTATAGCACCAACCCTGCATGTGTGTGTTTGTATGGACGTACAGACAGATACCCATGTGCATGCACACTCATTATACACATGTACCCCACACATAGCCTTTCATGTAGGGTGTTACAAATTTACTTGCACACTTGTTCTGGGACAATCAAGCAGATCAGTAGACCATTTAAAACCTTATGATGATACCATGTTGCAATACATAATATACAGTGTAGCAATCAAATGGTCTTTTCATTAATTTCTCATTTTCAGATGAAATAGATTGACAAATTTGAAATTGAAATTTATTTGATTTCCAGGTACATGTATAAACAAAATAGAAATGACAACACAGAGCATATAACATTAAGAGTTACAAGACAGTGAAAAAGCCACCAGTGGACGCCTGAGGATTACCTAAAAGAATTTCCATCCTGTCATGAGGTTCTCCACATCCACTGGTGTTACATATAAATAGATTTAAGAAGAAAGCTTTGTGCTTGTAGGACATTCTTTAATTGTCCCTCAAGAATCACAAGAAAGCTTTGTGCTTGTAGGACATTCTTTAATTGTCCCTCAAGAATCACATTTGAACCACCCCAAAAGGGCAAACAAATTTCATTAACAGAGATGCCAGCCTTCAGGCTTTTGCCTGATTTCAGGCCCTGACAACTTCCCATTTCAGGCTTTTTCAGGCTTCATATTGTACAGCACATATGGGGATTAAACGTGTTCTGGCTTCTTTTTAGGTCCAGTGAGTAAAACTGACTGGCATCCCTGTATTACGTATGTGTTCATCAGTGTAACCCATCAGGACTTTTTTGTTTCTATCTTCAATTCATGCAATAAATTAAAGTCTGAAAAGTAATGTACTTTACAAGTCACCGCTCAAGGCAAATGTGCATTATTTTGTAACACCCTGTACCTACATAGAGTCCTTAGGTTTGGATGCCAGGGACCCGTTTCACAAAGCCTATTTTCAATGACAAATGTCAAAAAATCTGTGACAAATCTGCTGATTACCAATCAGAAGCAAGGATTTCACAAGCTTATAACAAAAAAACTGTCATTTGTCACTGATGACAAGTTTTGTGAAATGGGGACCAGGTCCCCATTGCACAAAACTAACCATTGATGGTATCTTTGCCATCAATGGTAAACTACCATGAAAACCTTGATTTTGATTGGCTGTTGAGCCCTGTTACCATGGTAGTTGACATTGATAGCAAAGTTACCATCAATGGTTAGTTTTATGCAACGGGCACCAGGTCTCTATACTGAACACTTAGCTGCATGTTTGAGTTTCTGGCAGTAGGGCATTGTTTGGAAGGGTAAAATCATCAGTCAGTAAACTTGTGACTGTACATAATCTACTAGAGGAATACAGATGAAACCTTGTTACAAGTTGCTCTTCATCAATGTCTTTCTGCCTCTCACACATAATGCCCTTCTGCTGGATACTCCAATGTGCATCCTCCTGCCTTTCATGAGTGAAAGGTTACATCTGCATATTCACTTCTAATTATGATAATACCATCTTACCTAATACCCTATTTAGTAATCTACATGTGTAATATAATGTGTCTTAATATTTGCACATTTATTTCCATGTGTATGTAGCTGTAGCAATTGATATGTAAGTATGAGTGACGTATCATTTATATTTTGGGCATTTATAGTGCAAGTTTGTTTGGAGAATTATTTGATTTATATTTGATTGTTCATTGTTGAATCGTGTTATCTTTCACCTTATTTTTAGAAGTCATTTATAAGTGGTATTTTGTTTGTATGAATTGGATTTATTTGTAATTTCCATGTGACACTCTTGTACCTTTGGAAGTAGCACTGAGCAACACTTATTCCCCATACCCGGTACTTAAATACAATGACCCTCATCTGATTAAAAACTCACTCTGTATTTGTCAAAACACAGATTGATGGACTTGCTGCATCAAATGGTGCTCTAGTGCAAGAAATTTGATTGGTATTTTCTGACTTTTTAGAGTATAACTATGGTAACCTTGATTATCATTATTATTATTGACGGTTTGATAGGATAATGTTAGGAGATCCTTAAATACCTAAATATTTTGCTTCAAAATTCTTTGCTTATTTGTCCTTAGTGCCACTACTTCCAATCTTGTTTCACTGTGCACCATTTTATAACCTAATTTCACTTATAAAGTGATGCTAATGTTAGCAAAGTTTTTTTTCGGGGGGGGGGGGGGGGGGGGGGGGGGGGGTCAATAGGCTTAATATAAAGGAGGCTGTGGAAATTGTTCTGCAATTGGTTGATTTATGGTTGATTCACTGTTTAGGTACTTGGTAATTATTTCAATGTATTCCGGTAGTGTTGTATTTGTTGATAAAGTTGTTTGTTATGCTTTTTATTTACACTACTAGTATCTTCCCACAATGTAACAGGACATGATTTTTAGAATAGTATTGAGAGTATGTAACTCATTCTAGGGCAATATCTCTTTAATATTGTTATATAAATAATGTTTGATGTACACATACAAGCCATTTTCACACACAATTACACACATTGAAAGTGCTCATTTCACCATTTGAAGCATCCTATGCACAAAACACTGTTTTGAAAAAAAAAGCTTCTAATTTTTGGTTACTAATTTAAAACTAATAGCTAATTTGTGTTTTTACCATAAGGAAAAGGCATCAGTTTGCCATAAATGTATTTGCTTAAGGAAACAATGTAGCATTATTGGCTTGCGCTTGATTTTTTTAAAATTTTTCGTTCATGCACAAATGTGAAGTTTGTACTAAATGCTATAATAAGAAAGATTTTTTTTTAAAGACTGATTCAGATGTGTTTTGTTGTTGTTTTAAATTTTTCATTGTTTAAAAATCTTATATTTTTTTGTTGCTTTGAGCCAGAAATGTACACTTATTTGCTAGTGTTCAATCATTTTTCTGTTCCCACCTATTTTGCATTATAAACACAGTTTACTTGTTTTTGTAACAATCGCATATATATTCATAAGACCCATTTACGAATCAAATCTATTCATTTTGAATACATTAAGCTTTTTAATAATAAAGATGCAAGTAGGTGCATACACACACACACACACATGTTGTTGTGGGCATTGAGAGATAACTGCATAGTGTGACATGAAATATCACTTTCAGTTCCTCACTCTTAGTTTGTACATACCGGTATACTATTTCTTAAGATGACAACTTTTGAATTAATTATGAGGAAACCAGTACACAATCTATCAAAATTTGATTTCAATGCATACAAACCTTGGCAATATTGAGTTAGATTTTTTTTTAAATCTTCTTTACAGGAAATGTTCAACTTTTGAGTAACTTAGCCAAGAGTTGTTGATGAGTATTCTTATTTTCTTTGTCTTTTAGCCAAACCCAAATCATCGGCAACCCCAGTTCATCTGTCGCCCCAATCAAGAAAGCTGAATCCGTCATCATTGCTGGTGAGGTATTAGCACAGGTAGGTCAACATATATGGTTAAAGATGATGGTGCTAGTAGATGGAAGTGGGGTTTTGGTGGTGGTGATGATTATGAAATAGTGACGGTGATGGTGATAGTGTGTTTTGAAGTATTGAGGATAATGATAATAATTATATTTGCTTATATAGCGCCTAACACTTACTTTATCAGAAGTCTGTAAGCGCTCTACAATAATACAGCATAATTACCCTGGCTTAAGCAGAGAAGCTGTCACACGTTTTGCGTTTGAAGGAATAAATATATATTGTAGACGATATTCGGAGTTTTTATTCTGGTGGTTCCAACTAAGTCTGAACTACATGTATCCCCTATAAGTGATGATGATGACAATTTGGTGATAATAAGGCATTGTTTTAAAAATGAGAATGATTGCAGTTCAGATTGCTCAACACATGTCAATGCTTTCTGATTCTGAAATTGCTTCTAAAGTGATATGCCAAATTGTTATAAATCAGATTTTGTTTTTATGTTTTTTCTTCTTATAACTGTCTTTCCCTCAGCCCCTACAGATAGGACAAGCATACACAAAGGATGCCCTGGAGAAGACCCTCAGTGAGAGTGCATTCATGTCTCCAAGCGCTCAGAACTGGCCCAAGACTACTCCCCAGACCAAGAACCATAGCTGCACCACGGAAGCCACATCCATCTCAGATCCTGCCCTGTACGCTAAGCAGAACATCACCCCCAGCTCACATCACTTCAAGAAAGCACAGGACTTCTACGGGGGACGCAGCTCCCCTTCCCCCTCCCAGCCTGAGCCACACCCGAGCCCGATCAGCATGGGTTCCGCTGCACGACTGCAGGCCAAGTATGGACGTAAGAGCGCATCGGCGGTCCATGCCGGGGAAACTCAGTATCGTGGATCCTTGAAACCAGGCAGCCGTAATGTAGATCCTAACAATAATAACAGCAACACTAGGACGAGTACAAGCACTGATGACGCGGGAAGCAACGGCATCCTGTCAACGAGTGATGTCGGTGATGACATCACAAAAAGATTTCAACCGGACCAAACCAGCTCCGATTCAAGATCAGAGAGGATGGATGGGAATTATTACTACACTGAAGGCATTCCTTTAAATGCAAATGTAACAGATAGAGCGCAACGAGAGAAGGGCCTCAGCAAGATTTCCAATACAGTTGAGACAGACCTTGAAATAGTCTCCAGAGGCTATCCTTCTAATGTTGTCGGGCAGGAAGGGAATTATGCCAAGGGAACTATGAGCACACAAGCTAGACGATTAGATAAGAAGGCGGAGCTCAAACACTTAGCAAAATCTTTAGAGGGGGGCAGCACCCTCACAAGTTCGCCTGACGACGTTCCGTCTGCTTTCGAGATTGACCAACGAGGCGTAAGTCATGCGTCACACCTTAACAAACAGTCTTATAGGGTTACTCTTTCACAGAACTCCACTGCCGAAGGTCACACCCACCCGGCGCAGGTGTATTCTCAAGCCACCCCTCAATCTAAAATAGAATCTACCAGTCCCTTGCAGAGATCACCAAGACTCCTGGACCGATCCACTGTCCAGAGGGGTGTGGATGGTTCGCTTCATGTGAGGAAACCTACTCCAAGAGATAGAGTCAAGAGTGGATTAGCCACTGCACAAGACTTACATGATCTTGGTAATGGAGATGTCTCTGAGCTTGATGTTCTTATATCAATGGATGATAATCCTTACAGGGTTAGTCTTGAACCCACTCCAGATTCACTCATTAAAGAAACCACTCCGCAACCCTCTGCCAGAATCGCCAAACCAATGAGCTCTGGTATCTACTCTGCTCACTCCCCTCGCAGTCGGGTTTCAGATCGCACACGTCCGCTCTCCTCTAAGCATCGCGATGGTAGCAGCCCTCGACAGTCCTCGTCTGAAGTCAACCCCGAGGGCCGCAGTGATCCTCACGCTCTGCAGTACTTCTCTGTCTCCAAACTCTCCCTTCAGAACCGCTCACTGGAGAAGAGTCCTCAGCCTACACCCAGATCACCAAACAGCGGCCTCTATGATGGACCTGGGGTAGTGACGTCAGACCAGCAGCCGGGCAGCGCTGGGACCAGGTCAGCCCGGGCTCTAAGACCAAAGACACATGGCAGTAGCAAGGTAAGAAGAGATTCCTGAAATGATTTAGTCTATCTTTGATATGCTGAGAGCCATAAGGCCAAGAAAGAAAAAAAGATGTTGTATTGCCCTGTAGGTGCCAAAACATGGGTCTGTCGGTTGAAAATCTTCTTTTTCTTTTTTTTTTAAAACTTTTTAAAACTTTTTTTTACTCCCTCTTTGGGCTGATATTTCTCAATTATTTCTCAATTAATACATTTTTTTCTAAAAAATGGTAAAAAAAAAAAAAAATCTGATTATTGATTTCAAGATGTTGGGGTCGGTCGCAAAGGGGAATACAACATCTTTTTTTTTTAGGCCTAAGGCTCTTAACTCCTATCATTTTACTCAGAGGAAATCCCTTCTAGCTCTCAACACTCAGTCAGTCATTCAGTCAGAATGAAACGTCTTGTAATTTCCTCACAGAATTGTGCACTGTTGGTTTATGTACTGTTTTTCTTGTGAATCCCTGCATAAAGGACGACATGAATAAAACTTTATCTCATGTCTTTGTTCAGTTCCTTTACATTCAATTTAGTATGAAACGCATATTGTAGAACTGTACTGAAATATGACTTGTGTGTAATGGTCACTTACTGTAGTTTCTCTGACCATAGCTGATCTTTGAAGACAGGAATTATTATATTTGTATGAATTACAGTCAAACCTGTCTTTAGCGACCGCCCAAGGGAAACACAAAAAGTGGTCTTTGTAGACAGGTTCCTATATTACATGTTTCAATGAGAAACCATTTTCAAGGGAAACAAATAATGTGGTCGTTATAGACAGTGGTCACTAAAGCAGGTTAGACTGTACTATCTTTTCCCTTTATTCATGATGTATAGACCCTTACAAACTGGAATGTTTATTGTCTTGTTTCACAGACTGAAGCCAGTGGGCGAGGAGGGAAGGGTAAGAGATCGCCCCGCCCCCAGCAGCCCCAGAAGAGCCAGGACTCACCTCATGTAGTGGTCACCCAGGGGGGCTTCATGGGACACCGGTCACAACCAGGCTATCTCAAAGTACAGTATGCTAGGAAGAAATGATGAACAGTAGCTAATGGGATTTTGAAATAGAGGCAATAGAGAGAGGAGACGGACGGAGGTGGAGACAAAGAGAGAGGAAGAGAGGGAGAGAAAGAGAGAGGGAGAGAAAGAAAGTCTGGGTCTTCATGGGACATAGGTCACTAACAAGGGTATCTCAAAGTACAGTATGCAAGGAAAAAGGGATATTTGTCAGCAGCTTCAGAATCAAGATTTTGAGATGGAGGCAAAGAGAAAGTGAGTGAGGGAGGGAGGGAGGGAGGGAGGGAGGGAGGGAGGGAGGGAGGGAGGGAGGGAGGGAGGGAGTGTGTGAGTGAGTGAGTGAGTGAGTGAGTGAGTGAGTGAGAGAGAGAGAGAGAGAGAGTGTGTGTGTGAGTGAAAGAGAGGAAATGAGAGAGAGAGTCTAGGGCTTCATGGGACACCGGTCACAACCATGTTTCTCAAAGTACAGTATGCCTGGAAGAGATGAGTTATGGACGTATAGATTCAAAGGGACTGAGGAGAGAGAAAGAAGATGGGATCAGGGAATTTCATGTGGCGCTGATCACAACCAGCCGATCTAACATTACAGTATACTAGGAGGAAGATATAATGTATATTGCAGCCTCAGAGAGACAGGGGATGGAGAATTAAAAAGAGAGACAGATAGGGAAATTCAAGAGAGAAAGAGAGAGAGAAGACAACCCCAAAATTGAGAAGAAAACTAATGGGAGTGTAGAGACAAGCGACTGAGGAACAGTCAGGCTTGAATATATGAAAGATAAATGTAGAAAAGGGATAGAATTGCGACAGTACAATGACACAAAGAAATATTTATACTTGTGTAGCAACTGCTGGCAACAATATACAGCTTCAGTTCCTGCTTTACAGTTTCCTCTTTTATCGGTGTCATGTGGTAAGAAGAGAGAAAAAGGCTGTGAAAACGATAACCATGAGAGACATGTATTAGACCATTCCACTTGGATCTCGTGTGCAATTTTCAACGGAGTAAATACAAAATAACGATGCAAAATATATGTAGGAATACTATTACTGGATGTGGTAGGAATATACCAAATTTTTCAATCACTTCATTGTTTGTGAAAAGAAAGGTTTTGCAAAAGTTTCACAATTACAAAGACTTCCATGTATGTCTACCTGTCCATTTTCTGAAATGAATTTGCAAACTTTCAGTTGAAGTTATATTAAAAGGAGAATTGATTGAATGTGTTGATGATTTATGTTTTCCATGCATGTTACAATCAGCCAAATATGTAGAAAAACCCAATGAAGTCATTCCATAATCAATTATATTCATAATTATATAATAATAATTATTATTATATATTACATTCCATAATCCATTCTATTCATAGAGTACAATGTATGTCTTCGAGAAAAATGCATATCAGCTGCTTTCATTATGTGAGAATCTTTTGTGAACATTGAGGTGGTATAGAGGAGAGGGTCTAATAGATGGCATATGCTGTATAGCCAGAAAGTTCTTTGATTCGTACCGGTAAACATATATATTGGCCATTTTATAGGCAAGAAATTTTGTAAGTTGCAAAAATTCAGTAACTGATTCATTCCAGCATTTAACAGTTGCAAATCAGGATCACATTTAAAATTTGTCAAGTTTAATGTATGTGAAATTTTCTGGTTTTAATAAGGTATTGAATCTCTTCTCTTCCAAGAGTATAAAACAGGGTGACACAAGAAAAAAAAATCATCATTCTACTCAAAGTCAACTGCAGCTTCCTTCTCAAATTTACATTTTGCCTTTTCATTTTTAAACACTTCCAAAATATCATATCTGAGGCAACTTGAACACCTTATCGCACTGCATAAAGAGATTACGATCTGATTATTTTAAAACCAGAAATATTTGCAACTCTTTTCTTTTACATACTGTTTGCCCTACTCCAGGCAATTGAATTTCAAATTGTAGTTTCTTGATTTAAAAAAAAATTATGAAATGGTAGCCAACCGTGTGTGAATAGACATTGAGCTCTGCTTCTATTTTGCCTGATAAAATAAACAGGTACACTGGTACAGGATGAGAGAAACTGATCGTTATTTCAGGGACAATGAATTGGATTAATGTTACTAGTGTTTACTAAAGGCTTGATCAGAAATGGTGCAGTAGACCTATGCAAAATAAAGCTGCCACGTATTTTATAAACGTGTTAAAAATGAATGGCTACTGTGCGCAACAAAAGACTAGAACGTATTCAATGTGATCTGTGTTATAAGCTACAGAAATGTCAAGCATATTATACTTTACGTCAGTCACCCTGAAAAACCGCTGCTGTTTTGCAGCGTCATATCTGAGGAGCCTTGATACATGTAGTTTCTTTTTAAGAGAATAGTGTGGTGATTCTGATTACAAGTAAAGGTACCGTTTCCAAATCTCTTGACTCACAATCAAGTAGTATTTCCATTGGAATGTGTAGTGTCTGTCCTCTGAGTGAGTCAGAAATACATGTATGTCAAACTCTTGTAGTTAATCCTACTTATCCATGCCTCATGGTGTCTCCTCTTGATTCGTACTACAGTGAAACCTGTCTAGAAAGACCACCCAAGGGAGACAAGAAAAGTGGTCTTTATAGGCAGGTGGTCTTTATGTACAGGTTGCTTTAGTACATGTGTCAATGCGAAACCATTTGCAAGGGAAACAAAAATTGTGGTCTTTGTAGACAGGTTCCTTTTAGTACATGTTCCAATGAGAAACCTTTTTCAAGGGAAACAAAGTGACACGTGTAGACAAGTGGTCGTTTATACAGGTGGACACTAAAGCAGGTTTGAATTTGGTAACCTCTCAGATAGTTACAAAGAGTACTCCTACAGTCTCACCGCCAAACTGACTCCACCCCGATACTTGGCCATGCAGGGTAATGTAATGTTTTGATCAGTTTGAAGTCAGTCTGGCGTCAGTTTTGATGGTATAAACTAAGTAATATCTTACAGAGTAATTCCATGTACTTCCTTTAGGCTTGGGTTGTTAATGATCTTTAGCATTTGTTATATAAAATTTAAGCAATTTCTAAAACATGAATTTATTAATTCAAGTGTTAATGCCAACATGCATTGCTGAACTTGGACATTTTTCCAGTGTAGCTTCCATAGCCAATGTTACATGTTATGTTTGTGAATGTGTTCAGTACTTATTAGGACAAGAAGCCCCGTCTGACTATGCAATGTCAAGTATGTAGATAGGTGAAAAAAAAAGGTTTTTACTGAAAAGAAAGTGTTGTAATTGTATAGATTATGTATTATGTACATGTACATATTGAAATGTATTCTAAGAGAACTTGTGTGTGCATTAAAAGGCTATTCCATCCTTTCTAAATGAAAAGAAAGTCGACTTTTGTAGTTTCTTCTAAATTCGTGTTTTCCATGGTATGTTGTTGGGTATGAGAGTGTAGTTTGCTGTTGCTGTATAAGAAACCTGTATTATTATTATTATTAAATCCTTCGCTCCTGTCACCAGTTATCCACTTTCAGAACTCAACTATAAAAGACATACCTATTTCAGATTGCTTACAATTAGTCACTGCTTTTTTGTCTTTCTCAGTTAGAATCATGAACAGAAATTTTTCCGTATTTTTTTTTTGTAGTCCGATCAGTGCCTTTGATTAACTAGATATTGGCGCTTTATAAATACCTGGATTAAGGATTGGATTATTATTAAACAAATAATACACATCAGTTCGGGCATTAGTAAGAATTACCCACACAAGGTACCTTTGGAACAGTCTAACACGCCCGAGGCGATAGCCAAGGGCGTTTGGACTGCTTTGAAGGTACCAAGAGTGGGTAATTTTACTAATGCCCGAACAAAATCATGTGTATTATTTGTTTTATATGATTATGTTTTATTTGTTTTATAAAATGATGTTTTCTAACATGATTTTGATAATGACCGGTCATTACCCAAATTACGCGTTAGGCAAAATAAATGCCTGGTCACATGTACGCTTTCAACCAATCATTTGATTAGGATCCACGTCATCATCTTATAATATTATTACTGGTATACAACATAAATCAAATTACAAAGATACCAGTGATGATAGACATTGTTTACATTTATTCATATACAAAATGTACAGTTCTCAATCACACAAGTTTGGTCTTTTTGGAAAGCTCAATAAATTCATCTTCACAAAGAAAATATATCTATAAAGCATATCACTCACATGTACAGCCTAGCTACAAGGAGAGTACAGTGTGTTTGGTCACAGAATGGATATGAAATGCTTTACTTTGAACTCCATTCCATTATAATAATTATTTACGCTTTTAATGGAAATTCAAAAATTCATTCCATGTGCATATTTAAGGAAATTGGTCCATAAGACCTGTTTGTTTTGTGTTTACAAAGCAAGTCTAGAGTTCATGCATGACTGAGTAGTCAGAAATGGTTATGGCCAAACAAGATGTACCTGTCCTTATGCACTCACTTATAATTTGAAAAAATATAATCATATAAATTTACAGAAAGGCTACACTGAAGTCTCAATAACGCTATTAAAATAAACTAATAAAAAGGATAAAGGCAATATCTGGTTTAAAAATTTGCAATAAAGCTCAATTTACAAACAGCCACACACTAAGTTTTTTGGTTTTTCTTGCTTGGAACCATACCATATCAAATAAAGTTGAAGGGAAATCCAACTTTTTCACACAACTTGTTATGCAGGTTGAAACTGTCCTTCACAGTTTGCAAACATGAAATCCTACAAAGCACTCCAAATCATTAAAAAAAAAAAAAAATTATCAATAGCGTTAAAGACTGATGTAATGAACGTATGATCAGTTGAAGAAGTCCTGTATTTTCCCCTTTGTGATGGTCCACAAAATAATATAGACCTTTCCAGGCTTCCCATATATCCTGTAAATCAGGGGGAAAACATGAAGAATTGTTTTCCTGTATGTCAGTCAAGGAATTTGAGGAAAATCAATCACTTCTGGGAGAAACTGGGCTTTTTATGAGAAATACTAGGAACCCATAAATAAACGTCCTATTGCCCTGTCAATTACCTCATTCCTAATGATGATAGTGTCTTCTTCCAATATGAAACTTGGTTTCACAAGAGCTGCATCCCATGTCACAAACTTGTCATCAGTGACAAATTACAGTTTTTGTTATAAGCTAGTGAAATCCTTGCTTCTGATTGGTTATCAGCACATTTGTCACTGATTTTTGTCATTTGTAATTGAAAAAAGTATTTGTGAAACAGGTCCCTGATTAGTACTACAAAATAGAATCATAGCAGTGCATAAAGACATACACACAAAAAGCTGTAGTATGTCTGTATTCCATGCTATTCTACCGACTTGGTTTCTTTTAGTATTACTCTACAAAGGTCTACTAAACAAGATAATGAAATACATTCACAAGGAACATCACATTACTTATAGAATGATACTGAGCATTATATCCAATAAATACAAGTAAGCAGGAACTACATATTTCTATGCTACCCTTGGAGACAAGTTATTACAAATACATCACACATGTTGGTAAAAAAATTGGCACATCAAAATGCTAAGGTTCAAGAGCACTGCATACATGCAGAAATTGTTTCTGCATTTAAATCAATCGAAACTTTCTTCTCAACATCACCGACAATAACATCGATTTCAATTAAAATCATCAAAGTTATATTTTCCTGAAAAAGTGTTTCTTCAGAACTTCTGTCCAATTGATAATAATATAACAATAACTTTCAAGGCATTGACATCAGATTAAGGCAGAAATCATCTGTTTGGAGCCAGAAGGGTGTTAACTCATATACTTTAACACAGAGTTAACATCCTTCTGACTCTGTACAGATGATATGATGAAAGACATGCAAGGTGTGTGATAGTCAAGTTATTACTTAGTTTGGACGGACCTAGAATAGAAAAGGCAAGAATACATTATCTTTTCTCAGATTTATGACTCGATCGCTTCTGTTTTTTATCACTATTTACTATCTCTACTATCTAGCATACTGAACAATGACATCATTAAGAAATCTATATTGTGACGTCTGTGGGTTTTGATCCACAGCAAGAAAAGATTTAAACCTAGACTACATGTACAAAGTATACAGTTACACAACTAAATTAATCATACCCTTACCAAGTTTTGCAATTTCTTTAGTATGTGAAAAGTTGATTTGTTCCAATTTATGTTTCTGAGAATGCGGCATATTATAGCATACACCTAAAAGTATCGAACAAAGGCCCTAATTCAACCAGTCCACATTTCGATCTTGAGTTACGCAAAAAGACACAAAAACATCAAATTTACAAGGAGTATGACAAACTTAGTTGTTAACTGTATCTAAAAAGATTTACTGGTATTCACAAAGAGAAATATATCTAGTCAATAAATTCCATTGGAATCATATAATAAAGACTATTCATCTACATTTATTATTTCACTAACAACAAATTTGTTATCTCATAACTAACTACTTCTAATTTTTTTTCATTCCTAAATTGTAGAGCAAAATACACAAGAAACCATTGATTTATTTCACTCCACTGTCATCTAGAGCATCTCTGCTAAAACTGCAAAATGACAAAATCCCTTTTATGATCGACAGAGAGAGTATGGACTCTGCTATAACACATCAAAATAAAGTTGGATATAACCGCTCGAAGGATGTCCAAGTACCCGGTTGGCCATTTCATTTTGGTCAAGTAGTCCTACACAGAGTCCATACAACGCTCTTATTAATAGCCTTTTGAATTATACACGGAATATGTGATTGTCTGATCGGGGCCCCGTTTCACAAACTTGTCATCAGTGACAAATGACAGTATTTGTTATAAGCTACTGAAATCCTTGCTTCTGATTGGTTATCAGCAGATTTGTCACTGATTTTTGTCATTTGTCATTGAAAAAAGGCTTTGTGAAACACCCTCCAGGAATGGTGATTTAAATATTTTCAAAAGTTATGTTTTTGAAGTTCAAACTAGTTGTGCCTCAATAGTTATCTATGAATGAATTAACTTGTATAAAAATTTTAAATAATGCACCCCACATCATGCCAATATTTATCTACACATGAAACTATGATTCCTTCATTAAGAAAAATTGAAGGTCAAAGTTCACTGACTGTTATAATTCTCTAAAGATCTCAAGCACCAGGGATGCCAACCTTTCAGAGCACAAATCCGTAATCATAAGGCTAAAAATCCGTAATTTGGAGACAAAATCCGTAATTTTCTGCGCGACGCAAATTTTTCTGCACGCTGGCAAGCGCAGCTCCCGCAGGCAAGCGCGATAGCACAACAAGTTAAATAAAAGTAACATAGTCTACCTGTTCATTAGTTGGTGTTACACGATGCATTTCCATTTCTTACTGTATTCTTCTTTAAAAGTCTGTAACTTCTTGCCACGCTTCTTAGTTGTGGAAGACATGATGATTGATATCTAAATCCAACCAACATGAGTTCAGATTGTCGACGAAAATCGACGAACGCTGTGACAGCCTGTGAGAAATCCGACAGTGTACACGGCGCTAGCGTAGCGAGGCCTGGCGCTGGGCATGGGCGGGCGGTAGCGGCGCGGCCAAGAGAGGTATTTCACCCGGCCCCCGCTCGCGAAGCACATGTTGTATGCACATGTATGCACTGAAAGGGGTGTGCTAGATAACAAATTGTCCAATCGGAAGCCCTGTGGGATTTCTATGCATGGATTCAAGGATGACTGCGCTGCAATAGTCAAAAGTACGTGCTAAACCTTAAACATGCTAAACCTTAAAGTGCTAATTTTGAAAATCGGCAAAATCTGCAAAATCCGGAATTTATGGTATGAAAATCGTACCGCCCGTAATCGGCCGATTTCCCGTAGAAATTACGGGAAATCCGTACTAGTTGGCATCTCTGAAGCACTCACACATTGTGGGTATATAGAGGGCAGCACATGGACGTACGCACGGGAGCGTTATACCCATTGGCTCAGTGTTGTGTAGTGATCGGGAGCGATCAAGAGTGTTCGCTAAGTTGCCTACTTCATGAACGACTATATACCCATGCATGAACATCTTTAAGAGAGGCTTGTAAGTTGGCCGGAACTCATGATGTCACCACAGCTAGATAGGATTATGAACAGCTCGATGTTCAGCTTTCCTCTCTTCTAGCCATCACATTGCGGTACAGGATATGAAACCATTGAAGTGGTGTTCTTGATGAGCTACATTGTATGGGAGGGCATTACAAGACATTGTCTTACTAAGGAGCCCGAGAAGATAGGTGAATACAGCTGTCCCAGCAACAAGGCCTACAATGCCTGGGTCTAGTCATACTCAATCCAAACAAACCCAGAGATTGCGAATCACGTTTGCCACGAAGCTCTGATAGTTCACATCACAAATCCCTCGGAGAAGACTTAAAGCCATTGGTCCCCTGGTTGTTTACTTAGAAGCATGCATTCTGAGCAGGCAGGTAAAATAATCATTGATCCATCGATCATCATCATTAAATACACACAGGAGTTACGCAGGGACCATACCTATATGTTCAGCTTTCCTACGTTCCCCCATTTCTAGCCATTATCCACACTTGTAACAGAATGAATGATGCTCTTCAGTAGAATCCTTGAATCAAGACTAGTAGCTAGGTCACACACTGGTAGGTCTGTCACAGCTAGGAGACTAGCAATGCTATTCAATACCAAACTTGCACAACATCTAGATGCTACACTGCTATCCAACTGCAACCATACGCTAGTAGATCACATACTAGAATAAAATAGGAATCATGTATATTCCTGCTGGTCGCTGCTTGTCACTTGAGGGCAGTCCAAGCCTTGCTATTCAATTACCGAACTCACTACTCTGTCATCCTAGACTAGTCCAGCTCTATCCATAGGCTAATAGATCACATGCTAGTATAAGGGTTGTTTTTAGTCCTACTGGGCAAGGCTTTGCGTTGGAGCGCAGCCCGAGCGGTGACTGGTCTAGATATCAATCCCATGAGTCTATTTGGGGGCGTGTTCACTGACGAGCGGATGATTGGCTTATGAGGGTCAATGGACTTTGGAGCGTTCTTGTCAACTTGCTGTACCTCCCTGTGAAAATACAAAAACAAAAACAAGCTTGTGAACAACTATTAGACATTCTGAGTATATTACGGTAGGTTCAAAACTAGATGGAGCGATTTTACGAACCAAAACAGGAGTAATTTTTAAAATTCAAATTTGATTGTAATCCATCTGTCGTTATTAATGCCAATGCATTCACAAATTTGTTTGCATACATAAAGAGCCATATGACCTTTGACCTCATGACCCCAAAATCCAATCAGTTCAATGCCTCTGCAAGATACATATCTGTCCGGAATTTGATGGTAATCCATCTATGGGTTTTAATGACAATGTGATCACGAGCTATAAAATATATCGATACAGAATACTAGAAGTTATAAAGTAAGGACTAATTACTACGTTACATATTCTACTTCAACTTTGACATAAAGAACTTCTCCATGTTTAATCAATTTCTGTACTTACGGTATAGTCCTGATCCCAACGGCTGGACCAGAGTATGGTCTATCCTCTATCCGGCCCAGGACCGGTGATGACGGGAAGGAACCAAGGAAAGTACCCGGACTCATGTGACCAGAGTCCCCTAAGGATGAGGACCGAGATTCCTGGGATAGCCGAGGGGTATCAGTGGAGGAGTCCAGGGATAGACCCTCATCAACGGAACGTTGACGGAACCGACGCACTCTGTAGTCTCCAACTAAGAGACATAAAGAAGAGAATAACAATATTAATTGTCATTATATAACGCCGTCTATCTAGACAATTCTATTCCGAGGCGCACAAGAAAAATAGAAAGAATGAGAGAGTGTGGATGAGTGTCATAGTGCCAAGTACAGGTATTGTTAAAAAAAAGATGAGATTTCAGCTTGGATTTAAAGGTCTCTATAAATTAAGTTTCTCAAATCAAATGGTAAAATATTCCATAGAGAAGGATGAAACGGGAGAGACTGAGATTGGATGAATACTTGGCAAATATGTGTTCCAGTGGTAACACTGTTAAATCAATGTTTAAATTCTGAAAATCATTTCCAGCTATTCTTGAACTTGCTCAAAAGAGACATAAACTTGTGTGTATGCTCTTGGAGTAAGCCAACTGCCCTACACAAATAATTATCAAAAACATTATGATTAAAGTAATTCATGTAATCTAAGATCTTTTTAATTCAAGTGATCTAATTTAATGAATCGGTCTCTGTAAATAAATCATACCATACAGGTCCTTTCATAGATCGATACCTCATACCATGTACCACAGATGTTTTGAACTATTATATTGTACATGATTAGGCTAAAGGACTTCATGAAGATTTTTTTTTTTCTTCCTGTCACCCACATCAGGGGAGTGTTTCACAAAGACTAAGATCGACTTTATAAGTTTAACTTAATTATGGCAGATCGTTCATTCCACTATTTTCTCTCATCATTTACTGGCATTGGTTTCTCCAGGGATGTACCAATCGTGGTCACAAATCTACAGAATTTATATTTTTTTATAGTTCATTATTGTAGGAGAAATATTATCTGAAGATTAATTGAGAGAACAATGGTGAGAGCAAACAGTGGCATGAACGGCCTGCCAAAGTTAAGTCCAACTTAAAGTCGATCTTAGTCTTTGTGAAACACTCCCCTGGACCATTTTTTGTCTTTGATGTCTACAAATAGCTCTCCATAATACTTAAGTCCAACTTATTTTGTCTTTGACGTCTAACGGTGATATACTGACCTGCAGTTGTTTTAGGTCTGACCGGAGCCCTTATAGGTGACCTTGGTCCTTGGGGTGGGGTCGGCAATCTTCCGTCGATCGGTGAATCTGAGGGTGTGGGTGGGATGAAAACCCCAACATCAACATCATCATCGACATCATTGTCTAACTCATCATCATCATCCTGGTTGCTATGGCTACCAGATGTAAGTGGGAGGTTGTTATTAGTCTCCTCCTCCTCCTCCTCGTTGTCGCTATGGGTGATCTTCAGGACCTGAGGCTCTAGGTCTTGGAGACGGACTTCTACTTTTCTGCAGGAGACAGACAGAGAAGGAGAAAGAATTCATAAAGGCTCCTTTACGTATGACGCAGTATACCATGCTGATTAAAAAGAAATATATATTTAATAATAATCTGGATTTATATGGTGCTTAGTACGGAATACCATCTCTAAGCACTTTATCCCGGTCATTGGATTCATTCATTCACAATGTGCACCATCTCCACTCCCTGGGGTATATTCCTACCATATGGTCTCCATGAGGGCATACGGCAATTACTGACTTAAAGCTAAACTTTAGTACTGGTAATGCGATTGCATTGTGAAAGAAAAGGTGTGAAAGGATCAGAAACAGTTTATCATGTAGCATGTAAGTATTGGTGTGCACTGCAAGGTTCTGGAGTCATCAAAATCATAATAAATTTGACCGAGTCTTGGTAAAGTAACAAACACTCACATAGAAAGCTATATATGGGACAACACACATGGTGTCGGGGATGGTACTACCTTGGTTTCCTTGTCTTTCTATGCTCATTACTCAGCCAGTATACATTTTCTTCTAAAATTGTTTGGCACATGTCATTTATTTGTAATCTTGAACATTCAGTGTAAGTTTCGTTTGATTCTGTGAGAATTAATTTTTTTTTTTTACCAGTACTGGAGTTTATCTTTAAATGCTTTTGTCATCCTACTTGGTCCCCATTTCTCTCTTGGGTATTGAGTGGCAAATGTAGATGAATGCCTTGCCAATGGACATTAGTGCCGTGTCGGAATCAAACCCACAACCTTTGAACTTCACGTCAAGTGCTTAAACCACTCGACTATGACAATTCTACGTAAACCAGTAAATGAACAGAAAACTGGGATTGAAAAAGAACCTGCTTGCAATGAAGGTCCCACATTTACTTTCTTACCTGCTCTAACAACCTGAAATGTGAAGTCCATTATGCGATAATAGTCGTGATAAAAACCACAGTGATTTATCGCTTCACGTATAAACAGGCCTTAAGAGTTCAAGATTACAAATAAATGATATTTACCGGATCATTATGGCAGAAACTGTAAACTAGCACAGGACTACTACATGATGGGAGCCAGAAGGGCTTATTGTAAATGCTGTTATTTTTGCGTGATTAATTTTTCGCGCTGAGCAACCCCAAAAACATATTTGTGGGTTCTTAAATTTGCATTGCACGCAATTCAGCCTGTTCAAAATGTCCATAAGAAGTCATGATTATTAATCGCGGACACAGACTTTGGCGAGAAATCCGCGAAAATTAAAGCACCGCAAATATTACATTTACAGTATGTCATCCACTCTGAAGAGACAGTTAATGTCTTTCTGACTCTCAACGGATGATATACAGGTAGGCTTTACTACTTCAGCCAGAAGAGATTAGGCCACCCAGTGAGCCAGCGAGGTCACTGTGACAGGTGGCTATCTCATTAACTCAGCTCTCATTTAACATAAGAAAAAGAGGATCATGGGGGACCAACAGGCACTGATTGGGGAAGTTTTCTATATAGAGGGAGCAAGTAGCTACAAGAAGGACAGTGTGCCTTTAAGGAAATTGGGCTAATACCGGTAGTTTAAATCTATGGAGAACATTGTATCATACCTTTCATGGGCTTCTTTCCAAGTCCGCAGCTCGACAAAGATGTCTTCCTTGGATCTCCCATCCTCCCAGTCCTCCTCCTCTAGTGCATCATACGTGTGCTCTGGTTTGTGTTGTAGTAACATCAGCATGGTGGTGTTCTGCTGTGTCATTGGGTTCTGTGTGCAAAGGAGAAGAGTTCAAATTAAAAGATAGGCCTATTATTAAAAGCCCCACTGCCACCTCTCTCCCCCTCTCTAATCTAGATGGATGCCTCTATCTACACTGAACAAGTTTTTAGTTGCATCCATTTTGCTTCAAAAAGTCAAATCACATCTGTCGTAATTAACAAGGACAAATATAGAAGTGTGTTATCAGAAAATCATGTTGTACTGAATGACTTAAAAATCTACACTATGCTTTACAAGAAGCAAGCATGCAACTCAGCTAGTCTACCTTCATATTCTTCCTCCTGCTCCTCAAAGCTTTGACCGGGTTTCCGCAGATGACCCCTCCACTGCCATGGGTCAGGTCACTCGTGTCATCACCGTCGGCAACAATGTCTGAACCTATCCAAAGTGGAATGAGGGTGATGATGGTGTTTAACAAAAGTTTTAACAGATACTGTTAACAAAATCAATGTGCAAGATTAGTTGACAAGTACAAGTTGCTCTAGATAAGATGGAGCTGCTTGGTTAAAGTGACTCGGTAACATTGTTGAAGGTTGATGAAAAAACTGTGTAATATGTGTATGAAATGTTACTTATTATATTCCTTCTACCGTTTTAGCCCTCTAACATGCAAACAATCCTGAAAAAATCCTCAAACCACAAAGATATTTATGGTTTTCTATGAAGGCGTCACTGTGTGACACCCTCTAACAGTGAATTCTTCCAACATTTTTGAATTTTCCCAACTGTTTTTCCATGAAAATAAGACATAAGACAGGCTTTTTAAAATCGTTCAACACTGAAATGTCAGGAATGGTATATAAAGCCAATTCATTGCTTTGTGACGATTCATCTAAAATGTAATTGAATTGTAATGATAAAGTTGGGAGAATTAAGGCATCGATCAGATCAGTTTTTCATTCAAACTTTCAGATTATCTTTAATTGTACATCTATCATTTAAGTTACTACCTTATCTGAACAAAGTTACCAAGTCACTTTAAGGTTTGAAATGTTCTAAGATAACATGTCTGATGTTTTACAGGGAAATTATTTCTACATAGCTTATGACAAATGTCCCAATGCACAGTCATCACAGTGATTGGTGCTAACAGATTATGACAAATACATTTTTTATTTTGTTTATACATACTATATTTCTTTTGTACATTCTATGTAAATAATAATATTGTATATATTGTATTGTTCTAGTAGTTAACTGACCCCTTCAGCCTGTGCTGCTGGTCAGTTCTTATAGACCAATAAAGAAATAATACATCAATTATATCAACATTCATTTGAATCATGTTATCAAAAAGAAAAAATCAAGGGGAAAGACTGTGATCATCTACTTGGATCCAGAAAGGCATTAACTCATATGCTGTAACACAGAGTGAACGTCCGTCTGGCTCCAAAGAGACAATACTCAGTAAATAATAATAAAATAAATAATAATAAAAACGTTACTTATAAAGCGCTTACCACCGAAGTCTCTAAGCGCTATACACACAAAATAGACTGATATACAATTACATCTTATACAAAACTAAAAATGCAAATAAACCTACAAATAACAATACATATGGAATACACATCAAAGTGAACAGAGATAATTAATCATCGAACGCAATTTTGAATAAATGTGTCTTGAGACTAGTTTTGAATAGGTTAACGGTTTGACAGTTTTTTACATTTAAAGGTAATTTGTTCCAAAGTTCAGCAGAAGCTTTGCGAAAGGAGCGATTACCATAAGAGAGAGTTGACACAGAAGTAGATACGAGGTTTAATTGTGAAGATGACCGTAAATTGCATGAGGGTTTGTATTCCTCGATTAATTCTTGCAGATAAATTGGTGCCAATTCATGAATGCATTTATAAGTTAAAACTAAGATTTTGTACATGATGCGGTACGTCACCGGCAACCAATGCAATTCGCGAAGTACTGGGGTGATGTGTTCACAAGAACGTGTGCGTGTTACAAGCCTGGCAGCAGAGTTTTGGATTCTCTGGAGTTTTGCAATGTGCGACTCCGGAAGGCCATAAAGAAGGCTGTTGCATTGATCAAGACGGCATGTAATAAATGCATGTATAAGCGTTTCGGTAGATTTTTCATCAAGAAAATTTCTAATACCACCTATCTGTACTCCAATGGAAAAAAGAAGAAGAAGAAAAAGAAGAGGTGTTGTGGTCGAGTGGATACGTCACCGGACTGACGATCACAAGGTCCGCCGCGGCACTTTGGCAAGACATTGATCTACATTGGCCACCCTCCACCCAGGTGTTAAATGGGTACCCGGTAGGATGCGAAAGCCAATGTGGTATCCTTAGCAATTTGAGCCTAGTAGCTCTTGTTGGAATGCTCCCCAGGGAGTGGAGAAAGTGCATACATTGTGTGCGGGCATGCCAGAATCTGATGACCGGGGTAATAATGTAAAGCGCTTAGAAACTCGGACATTCCCGACGTATTAAGCGCTATATAAGCAATAATATTATTATTATAAGGAGGAGGAGGAGGAGCAGGAGGAGGAGGAGGAGGAGGAGGAGAGGAGGAGGAGGAGGAGGAGGAGGAGGAGGAGGAGGAGGAGGAGGAGGAGGAGGAGGAGGAGGAGAAGGAGGAGGAGGAGGAGGAGCAGGAGGAGGAGGAGGAGGAGGAGGAGGAGGAGGAGCAGGAGGAGGAGGAGGAGGAGGAGGAGGAGGAGGAGGAGGAGGAAGAGGAAGAAGAGGAAGAAGAAGAAGAAGAAGAAGAAGAAGAAGAAGAAGAAGAAGAAGAAGAAGAAAGAGACAATGTTGAGAATCTCACCCCCAGTATCAGGCCTCTCAGCAGAGGTCGTAGGCCTTCCTCCCGCTGTTGTCATAGGCCGATGACCCATGCTTGACCCAGGTCGCCGTCCAGAGCCTGACCCTGGTCGTCTACCTGCTGCTGATCCCGGCCTGGCTGCCGATGTCTTGGGTCGCGACCCTAAGGACAACAAAACACGATTTCTATCAAATTCCTGTCTCAATTTACTTTACTGAATTTCTCTTATAGTTAGTTATCAATATTTTTGAAAGTGTTTTCCTGTGGTCAAATAGATAATGTCAATTCAATGCAATTATATTTTTCCATTAAAAACATACTAATTATACAGTCAAACCTGCTTCAGTGACCACCTGTCTACAAAGACCACATTTTTGTTTCCCTTGAAATGATTTCTCTTTGAAACATGTACTTAATGAACCTGTCTACAAAGACCACTTTTTTGTGTTTCTCTTGGATGGTCACTATAGACAGGTTTGACTGTATAATGAATACATACAAGAATTACATCAGAAGGAACCCAAGATAGCAAAGCTTATTAGGAGGGGCCCTGTACGTGTTTCTATTTAAAATGTAGGAAGGATATTAGAAATTAAACAAGTATTTTTCCTCCATTTATCATACATTCTTTCCCTGTTAAGAAAAAGATAATGCCATACTGACCTCATAATGTCATGATTTTAATACATGCTTTACATGTCAGAGAAATTGTTGACACCCTTTTATTTCTATCAGTTGGTTTCCACTAGAGATATTCCGGACATACTTTCTTTCTTTTTTTTTGGGGGGGGGGGGGGTCACATCTTTATGTGTGTGAAATAATACATTCAACAATTTATGTATTCTTTTATCAATATCTGTCTTCAAACACATTTTCTTTTGGGAAATCTTTACAGAAGTGTCTTTAATGAAATCATCTTTCACATTATGATACAATTTTAGTAAAATTTTGCCATCAAATTTTTGGCGAAATTGGGGCTCCCAACACTTTAGAGGGGCTAAAGCATTTCATTCCCTGAAAATTGATGTTACAACTTACCCCCACTGCTATCTGATGCTACACTGTCTACTGATCCTAGCGTATCTTTGATAGAACCATTCACCAGTAACCAATCAGTGCTTAGATTCAGAGCCTTGGGTTGAAGGTTTGATGTTGATAAGGACGTTGATGCCGAGTTGAGGACCTCATCATCTAGGATCCTGAGCTGAGGGACTGCTTTCCAGACAGAGAGACGATAGTTGTACGGTGGACTCTCCTCCTGGTGTTACATCAAGAGGAAAAGATTAAGAAACAAGTGTAGATAGAAATCTTTGTTTGAATTCTGCCATAGCATTTTAAGATACACAAAAGCCAACCATATGTTATCTAATGAGTATATGTGTCGTTGCCAGTCATACATCCTACAGGGTAATCATACACATGCTGTGATAACACACATTTCTCTGCACATAATTTTGTCAAGATATTCATGTACATATAAGCAGGCCAGCCTCGTCCATATTTCATACAGGGCTTGTGTCAGTCATACATTGTTTGAGGGCTGACCAGACACGGGCTCCGGTACGAGCTCCAGTACGAGCTCTGGCACAAGCTCCGCTAACATCTGCAACAGGGAAGTTGTCAAAGAGGATCACAGTGCTAAGGAACACTGTTTTTAATCTGGATTATATAACGCATAATACAAAATACTGTCTCTAAATGCTATACAGATATTATTACCCCGGTCAGCGGATTCATTCACGCACAATGTGCACATCTCCACTACCTGGGGAGTATTCCAACCATATGATCATGGTGAGGGCATATGGTAATTAGTAACACAAATGCATTTGTCATCCTACCGTGTCCCCATTTCTCTCCTGGGTATAATAATAATAATAGTGTAAACTTATAGAGCGCACACACCGTCCAGGGACGCTCATGGCGCTAGCTCAGCAACAGTTCTCTTTGATACAAGTAAAGTAAATAATTTTGCAATATTTTTTGCGATATGGAGTGGTAAATGTAGATTAATGCCTTGCCAAATGCCACATGACATAAACTGAGCATCACCCAGCATCACAAAGATTAATCTTACCTTGTCATAATGCTTGTTGGGTGCCAAGCAGACTGGGTTTCCCTCTAAGGACAGTGCTCTTAGCATCACCCAGCATCACAAAGATTAATCTTACCTTGTCATAATGCTTGTTGGGTGCCAAGCAGACTGGGTTTCCCTCTAAGGACAGTGCTCTTAGCATCACCCAGCATCACAAAGATTAATCTTACCTTGTCATAATGCTTGTTGGGTGCCAAGCAGACTGGGTTTCCCTCTAAGGACAGTGCTCTTAGCATCCCCCAGCATCACAAAGATTAATCTTACCTTGTCATAATCCTTGTTGGGTGCCAGGCAGACTGGGTTTCCCTCTAAGGACAGTGCTCTTAGCATCCCCCGGCATCACCCAGATTGATCTTACCTTGTCATAATCCTTGTTGGGTGCTAAGCAGACTGGATTACCCTCTAAGGACAGTGCTCTTAGCTTACTACAGAGTCCAAGAAACTCCACCTGAGCTATGTCATCTACATTGTTCCTGTTTGAAATGAATAACATTGAAACACTTTTACCAGGATGAAATGGTAAATCACAGTTAAATGCATTTATGATATACATTTGAGATATTAAAGATACATTTCTTTTAGCTTTGATGGAAAAATCAATTCAAAATGATTATACAGCATGGTAAAGGGGAGAAAAAAACATTGAGTTAATATCTTTACATAAAATAAAATAAAACAAAACAAGACACAGAAACTAGGTATGAACAAGACCCAAATCATGGCAAACTGTGTTCAAATTTTCTAGAAAAACCGTCTTGATTGCCATTTCACCATGTAACAATAATATGTAAATTTATGTATTCTGCTCTTTATACGTTATACGTTATATTTAACGCAATATATTTTGTACATTTACAGTAGAGTATAAATAGTTAAAGGGGGAAAGTCCATCTTGATATTAAGTTGGTTTAAATTGAAGCAGAAAATGAAAGTAACAGGTCAGTCAAAGTTTGAAAGTATTAAACAAATCTATTCCGTCATCAATAACTAAGGAAATGAAAGTTTATGAGATTTTCTGTGCAGAGCAAATTGGAGAGGGGCTCGCAAGAAATGTCACAGAGTTGAAAATTTGTGTTTATTTGATCACAACTTCAATTTTTTTTATAAATTCATAACTTTCTTATTATTCATCCGATTTTGCTAAAAATTCACTCATCTGTTTCTCTTAATTCCCTGCTTCTATTAAGTCCAATTTAATATAAGGGTGGAATTCCCCTTTAAGTTTCATCTAGAATTAAACTTACCCTTCTAAGTCTAGCAATTGAAGGTTCTCTAACATACTGCACGGACTGATATCTGAAACATCATTGTAGGCAAGATACAACTCCTGTTTCAAAACAAAATCAGAGAAAAGGTCAGTACATACTTGCTAACCAGTCAGAGCAAAAATTAGGAATCTTTCAAGGCAAAAATAGGAGTACAGTAATTTCTTTTAATACATTTCACACATAATACTTTAGAAAAAGAGAAAAATCTAGGGTTCATACAATAGCTTGAAGGCCAAACAATAGGAATCATACCTTCAAAATAGGAATGGTTGCCAGCTATGAAGTATCAATCACACATACAGTGACATAGAAAGCATGCATTACTATCAAAGCATTGTGGAATTTATGAACATGAATTCACATAGGATCTTGTTTCTTTGCAGCCAGAAGGGTGTTAACTTTGTGTAAAATGTTATATGATTTGAGTGGTATATGATGGTTGGTTATTTTACCTGACTGCTAAGAAAGCATAAATGGTTGTTAGTAAGCAATCAGAGGGCCGACGGCTTTAGGCCCTCTCCGAGGGACCTGGTAATGAGGATTAATGCCTTATAGTGCATCGACCTGGTTTCGAACCCGGGTCATTGGATTACCAGACCACTGCTCTACCGACTGAGCTATCGCGTCTCCTGATTTCAAAACCCCTAGACTCCACACAGAGTATCGCTCATTGTGATTCATATTATTTGATTTAAGCTCCGGTAGAGCTCCTAACTCAATGAAATAATCACATACTAAAATCATAGATATGGTTGGTAACATATGGTAGCTCTTCACACTAACCTTTCTGGGAGGGGATCCGGATTGAAAAACTTTTAAATGATTATTTTATTCGGCAAAGACAAATTCAACAAAATCAGTGCATACAAAACAACAGTAAGGTTTGAAATGAGTCCCATGGATACTGGGCAAAAAGATAAAGATTAACTAATTAACTACAACTCAAAAGGCTTTTCTTCCTGTATGCATGAGCCCTATGAAGACAAAAATTCAAAATTATTGGGGTCTGGACTTAGATAACGGGGTCCAGTGTTGAGCCCTGCCTATGGCTTACAATCAGCTTGGATCTGCCCAACTTTACCTGTAATGATGACATGGAGCTGAGACCATCTAGATCAGACAAACAGCATCTAGCCATCCAAAGAACACCAAGAATATCCAGAGCAGTCCCTAGATCTCTCACTGAAGCTATCAGACTGTCGTTCAGTTTCAATTGCTTCAGATTGGGCAGCATGGCTCCTGTAATGACAGAGGATACACTACATTAGGTGCTGTACCAAAACATTAAAAATAAGTTTGATTTCTGGTAATGATAGAAAATAAATTACCACAGAATCCAACAAAACTTACACTGAATGTTCAAGATTACAAATAAATGACATGTGCCCAACAATTTTGATAGAAAATGTATACGGGCTGAGTAATGAGCATAGAAAGATAAGGAAACCATTAATTGTAGGCCTGACACCATGTGCTTAACACAGGTCCCTATGTGCAAATGAGGGTCGTGGTTTTTATTGAAGATGATTTCTAGCAATTTGTTGTGTGTCAAAGAAAACACTAGATGATCAAGGAAACGTTCAAAAACCTAAAACACGACAGGACTTTTCCTCCTCAAAATAAATACTGCAAGTTTGGAGGACTTGTCTTGAATGGAATCCTGATTATATTTTTGCAATGATAACAAAATTTAAGTTATTTTGTGCAAAATGAAACAGAAACTAACCTATGTACACCAAAAACACGCTTAATGCATTGTTCTCTCTCAACATCCCGACGTGCCTGTCTTCAGGAAATATTTTAAACACTCACCTTTTAATGACGGTTTTAAACTAAAAAGCCTGATATCTACTTTGGCACTTTACAATCACCACACTATCAATCTAGGATATATCTATTCATCAAAAACTGAAGAGGTTTTGCAAATGTCTTTAATAAATTGAGACCTCTTGTTGAACCTTACCAAAGTTCCCAAGACTTGTCTCTGAGGTGTCCACCCTCATCTCCAGGAATTTCACACCTTCAAGATCTTCTATTCCAGTCAATGCTCGCTGTAGAAGAGGTTATCAGACAAAATATACATCTATGAAGGTATGCATATATTATTATTCCTTCAAAACAGAATACGAAAACTTTAATAAACTTAAATTTGTCTGAAAAGAAAACATGTATGTCATGAGGGTAAGGATGTGTGAAAAGCCACTGCCTGTGTTATGAAAGCTTTTCATCTTGTTTTCTCTACATTTTCCTCTTTATTTAATAATTCTAAATCTTTCCATTAGTTCTAATCTTTTCAACTACCATCATACCAGGAGTATATCAAACTCTTTTATTCAGATAAGGAAAGCAATACAAAATTAATAATTAAACAAATACAAATTTTTAAAATCTGAAGACAGAAAAAGAGAAAACAGTTCAAATTAAAAATAGACAATAGTGAATGACACATTGCCAATAGCAATTAACACTACAGTATGACAAGTTCAAGCAAAGAACCTCAGTGGACAAAGAAGGGTAATTTTCAAACAAGGATTCTCAATGAGAAGTATATGTATTTAAGTATAAGTATAATAATTCATTGTTCTTTTCAGGAAATTTGGTTTCCACTGGTTACAGAGTATTACAATACAAATATATAAATTAAATATTACTGGATGGTGATATAATGAATGAGGTAACATATGAGTAAGCCACGGTATATACAATGTATGGTGGTTATAAAGGTAATATGAGATTCCATTTTACAAAATATGAAGCTAATTTATTTAATATCATTGATTATAGAAGTATATGAAACAAGCCTGATGATTGAACTGACCAGTTTAGTTGGTGATATGTAGTCTTCTAGGAATGTGTCTTGAGGTTCCTCTATTATGATGGGTTCAGGATTGACCTGGACCCCTCCATAGTCTGTGATACGCACCCCCGCTCTGGCCATGGTACAGGCCAGATCCTACTTCACTTCTTTCACTGTGGATTGATCAAAGCAAGAAGACTGGGTGAGAAGAATGCTTGATGGACTTCTTTAACTTTAATTCTTTTCTATTAAAGGGGGGGGGGAATTCTGATGTCATATTTTGCATTATAAATGAAGCTATCACTAAATGAAGTTGATAAATAGAAAACTTCTTATCTGAAACACATTTAGTAAATATCAATATATATGCATGTATAGACTAGAGTATTACAAAAGTCATTTTAATACAAATTCATGAAATCTGGAGAAGAAAAAAAAAACTTTCACTTCCTTATTCAGAATAATATTTCATTAGCTCAGAAAGATGAATTTTAATCTTAGTAATACTAATCACAAATTATTCTTTACAGTGCATTAACATCGCATAAGAATGTCTCTATGCACTTTGCAAGAAAAAGATAAGAAAGGCAAGTTGAGTTACTTGTATTTGTTTAACATTTGGAATAAGTGTGTTTTAAGTTCAGAATTAAACTTCTTTATTGTATTAATCCCTAGCTTCATCTCTTCTAATTAAAATCTTACTTACAAAAAATAAATATATCTACATGATTAATGAACACTGGAAATTTGAGGGAACAGGAACAAAACATAATTGGCAAATTGGATGACAAGGGAAAGAAAGAGAGCATTTGGATCCATTATACACAAGGAGACGCGGTGGCTTCGTGGTAGAGCAGTGGTCTTGTAACCAGGAAGTCTCGGGTTTGAAACCAAGTTGATGCACTAGTGCCCTTCGGTAAGGCATTAATCCTACTTACATGTACAAGGCAATTGTTGGAACTTGCATGTATCTTGTAATAGCAGGGACTGCCTTGACAGAACCTTAGTTTTATCTGCAGTTTCCCCCGATTCATTTATATTGATTAACTTTTTATACTTCTGGTATATTTGTAAACGTGTTTCCATTTTGTGTGTGTTCTCTGTTTTCTATATATTGTATAAATAATCTGTATTTAATAATTTCATAAAATGTGATTGTATGGATTTAAATTGAAACAAATCTTGAAACTTGAAACAAGCATACACAAGCTTTCTTAGCAGTCAGGTAAAACAAACCAATCAAACCAATCACTTACCCTTTGCTGGCCCGGTATTAATGTTGTGCTTACATGCCACTATCAATTCTCCTTCTTCCAATCACATAAGGCCGTTTACCAAGATGACAAGGTTGCCTTCTACATAACAATCCTCATTGTCTGGTACAGTGATAATCAATCCTTGACCTCTGATCAGAAATCTGAAACTCAACCTAAACAAAAAACAACAACAAAACATCAGTTTATATAACTTGATTAAGTATGATGTACTTAGATGTTTTGTGCGATATGTGCGATTATGTATTTCAATTTGGTGGCCCCTTTTTTATAAGCCCTGCTTTCTACGGGGTCACCAAACCATCACTGTGTTCTTCTAAATTCTTGATGTAACTTATTTTGATTGTAGACCCCTATATATATTTTGATGGTTGAACAAATAAATGAATTGAAATTGAAATATGGGGCACTGTGTGAAATTATATAAATTTTACTTGAAATTTGTACAATAAATGGTTTTAGATTTCTTTAAACTTATCATTTGCTGTATTGAAAGAAAGTTCGCAAATGTCTCCTCACTTTTTAATAAGAACAATGATATCTTAGAACATGGCATTTTGTTGTAAAAGTAAAAATGCAAAACATTACTTTTTAAAACTCATTTTACAAAATCTACAATGTTGGTTACTACATCTAAGCAAAAAATAATCTGGTTTCTAGAACCATTATTATCTTGCGTTGTATTCAAAAGGCTAACCATTCTAGACCCTACAGCCATTGTAATTTTCCAATTTCCAGTTACAATTATTTTTCTTCTTCTTCTTCTCAATTTGGTAATCGTTGTAAGTGCTCATAAGGCTCATGGTTGGTTGGTTAAACACGTTTCTGTTCTGGCATGACAGTGTAGAATAAAAAGCTCTTTTCACGCGCCATTTAGTATGGGAACAACAAAGAAATATTTTAGACATGAATGTGTATCAGCCTCGGCTCAGCCTCGGCTCAGCTCAGTCAGACTTAGACCGAATTTTCCGTCTCTTTCGTTCGTTAGCCTCTTATTGGGGTAGGGTCGGCTCTCTCTTTAGAGACGGAAGCCGTTTATACACATGTCCTTGCTAACGCCACGGCCAGTTCTGGTCGTAGCGTTTTGCCCCCAAAATCCCCCAAAATGTCATTTTACCTCGAGCATGTTATATTGTAAATTAGGCCTAGGCTATAATAAATCAGTTCCACTTACCAACTTGACTGAAATAATCAGTTTAATAGTCCCTTTTTAGGAAATTATGGGTCAAAATCGGAATCCATGTTGAAAAAGATTTTCAAAATGGATTTCGATTTTGACCCATAATTTCCTAAAAAGGGACTATTAAACTGATTATTTCAGTCAAGTTGGTAAGTGGAACTGATTTATTATAGCCTAGGCCTAATTTACAATATAACATGCTCGAGGTAAAATGACATTTTGGGGGATTTTGGGGGCAAAACGCTACGACCAGAACTGGCCGTGGCGTTAGCAAGGACATGTGTATAAACGGCTTCCGTCTCTAAAGAGAGAGCCGACCCTACCCCAATAAGAGGCTAACGAACGAAAGAGACGGAAAATTCGGTCTAAGTCAGACTGAGCATCCATGACATGATTAGACCAAAATTTCTGTCTCTTTCTTTTGTTAGCTCTCATTTTCTCACGTAAACACTACCCACACAAATCCTTCTACAATAAACTCATCAAATCCAAGTAAATAATGTCTTCATATTTTTAATAGCATTCTTGCTCGTCAATTCATTAGCATCATGTTGCTATGAAACGAAGGCTGTCGAGCGGGTGTGCGGTTTGTGCTGCGGATAGCACTGGCTTGAATGCCATTCACTCAAGGTGAGGAATTAATCAGCGAGCGAGTGCGACATTAACACAAATCGCAGCAGAATAGGCTCATGTTTAACATAACGCAGGGACAAATTATAATATATTGATATGTAGTAAATAGCAATTTCATTTTCACATCTCAATAAACGGTTAAAATCGTATACCATAATAAGGTATTCATGAAAATACGAGGTTTCTTACCCGCTTTCGGAGTGTAAATTTGAGGTTCTTCGAGCTATTCGTTCGTTGGTTTGTTTCAATTTGCATCATTCATATTTACTCCACTAATTATGATTTGTCGCCCTCTACGACATGTTGGTACATTTTTGGCGACGTTTGTTCTAATTTTTTTCTCATTTGCTAGCTTGAGAAATGCCCACCCCCCCCCCCCCACTCTGTGTATTTGGGGTACGCATATGCTCGTTCCCTCTTTTTGAAAGCACCCCCTATCTGAGGACTGCCAACATTTCCAAACCCCCCTTTCGCAGGCTTTTTGCAGGCTTTTCCTGCCTTGGAGACCCCCCTAAATCATGAAAAATGCTCAATGTACCCCCCTAAATTCGGAATAATTTCTCAGGAGTCCAAAGAAATGAGAGAAGAAAAAAAAACACCCCCTTTTTAAAGAAATCTCCGGGTGAAAAATTAATACACCTCTTTTTTTACGATTCTCGGGCCGGACTTTGTCGCACGAAAAGTACCCCTTTACCAGACATTTTGGTAACACGCATGGGGTCATTCCGACCCCGGAGTGGGGGGGGGGGGGGGGGGGGTGGCCGGGCCATGCATACATCAAAACCTCACTAGTAATCTCAACAGTCAAATAATTTATCCTTTTGTTTTCCTTTGTTCAGTATTGTAACGAGCCAAGCAATAAAGACGCAGGATTCAATTTCAAGTATTCCATTTGGTTCCATCTTTATTGGTTCAGACTTAAACAAGTCGAGATCTTTTCTGTCTCTCTCAATATCCATGAAATGTACAGTGTAGGTCCTGCAAGGGACACACCTTAAAATCCAACATAGAGTCTTCTTTCTATAAGTACCTCCTTTCTGAGAGCCCAAAACATGTGTCTCTCTCCTAACATACCAACATGACCAGCATACCTTCTCTGCATACCCTGTCGATGTATATTTATTTATATATTCATGCCCAATTGCCCATGCATGCTCATTGAAGTGTTTACCATTGTTTAAGTCATGTACATGTATGTGCATATTTTCATATGTGTACAACACCTGTACTCATATCAATACAATATGATAACTTACTCCCCCCCCCCCCCTAGCCTGTTTCTCAACTTCATTTTCTGCTTTAATTACTAGGTAAGACTTCATTCAACTCTATGGACCCCCTTCAGGGGCATGAGAGCACAGCACAATACAGAAACATATATAAAACAAAGTAAGATTATGATAATAAAATACAAAGACATAAAACATACATTTTAATAATTATAAAACACAATAAACATGAGCTAAAGACAAAGCATACACTGTGCAGTTTTATGTTATGAGTCTAAAACATCACGTGGTTTGGTTTGTCTACCACTACGAGTAACTTCACTTTTATTAACAAAAATAGAACCATGCCTTTCAGCCTTATCTGGCCCTGGAAAAAAATATGAGTGCAGGAGTATATCCTATACAACCTTAGGCAATTGTCTGCCCCGATCTCATACGTTTAAGCCTGCCGGGTTGGGGCATACACTTTGGAGAGTAGAGTGAATCTCATTTAACTCTATAATGGGTTTTTTTTAATCGGAAATCGAGCGAATTTCGTTTTTTGTCTGCCCCTTTGGCATCCCTTTACTTTCCATCGGGGATTCCTCTGGCCTTGTAAAAAAGTTTTTGAGTGCAGGGGTATATCCTCTACAGCCTAACTATGTTTTGCCCGATCCCATACACTCTAAAAACTGAAATGTTAAATGTCAATTTAAAGGGCCGAGGAGTGACCACTCTTTCAAAATGTCAGATTGTTTCTTTTAACCTGCTAGATTCAACCTTTATAGTGTTGGATCCAGCATGTTCAAAGTGTTAATCTGCCATTTTGAAAGTGTGGTCACTCCTCGGCCCTTTTAAATGGTGATTTAACATTTCAGTTTTTAGAGTGTACGTTTAAAGGTAATAATATGTCCCATTTGCAGGCCAAAAAATGAAAAGTTTAAATTCCAACAGCATTTGAAAGATAAAAATAATTTCCCTAAAAAAATGGGGGAGGGGGGGGGGGGGCTTGAAAATGTCTTTAAGTGGGAAAATAACGACTATTAGTTGTCGAATCGACTTAGTAAGTAATAGTCTGATTTTCATACCAAGTACCAAGGTCGTACGTTTTATGCTGCGCAAAGATTCAATCAGTTTAATTTTGGCCATTACAAGAAATAGGTTATTGATGTAGACAAATGCTCGTGTATTCTTTACAGCTCATTTTATGAATGTTAATACCAAAGAAGAAAAAAAAGCCAGTCAGTCACTCAATAGTGTCTGACAGTGAAGTCTGGCAAGTAAACGGGTTTCCTTGCACAATTTGAATATTAGGACACTGATAACGTTTACAATCCACAAATAGGACATACATGACATATTCATAACTCCTGCAAAGTTCTACAGAATTTAATGTTGGCTGCAAAAGGGACATAATTATCTTTAAGTCTGCCGGGAGGGACCATAAACGTAAGGGAGTAGAGCGAATCTCATTTAACTCTAATGGGGGTTTTTGAATTGGAAATCGAGCGAATTTCGTTTTCCGTCGGCCCCTTTGGCATCCCTTGACTTTCCATGGTGACGTTTAAATGTCGGTCCCCAGACGTAAATAATCATATGTAATTGATACATGTCTGTAAAAACCCAATTCACCCCTCCCCCACCTCACACCCACACACCATAGTTCTTGGTACCTTCTTGGGTATGACCAAACCAGTGGCCGATTCCGCATTTTGCACACGGTTCAAGAAAGGGCCACAATTCTGAAACACTGATAGGAGTGGAAGGGGTTCTAACCCTAGACATTATGTGGTAGGGGCGTCCCTGTTTAATTCCTCGGTAGCGCTCTGACCAAATGGATTAAGTGCAACATGCCGCCCCGCGCCTACTTTAAAACCCTTAGAACGTGAACTACACAAAATAAAAGATAACAACATTAACTGCCTCTTAATTTTGTGATTTCTTTTTTTCTTTAAAAAAAAAAAATCATGAGGGCCCCAATCCTGTTGTTATTGTAAAAAGATGATGTCATCTCTATTTAGACTTAATTTTGTTTTAACACTTCTATGCTACATCAGTTGATAATTTCAGAAACACACTCTAGCATGCATTACCTGCCATACAAGTTAGCGACATGCGGAACACCGCCCTGCTGACTACAATTTCAGAAGGTTCAGAAGGTTATTTCTAGGGAGGAGGCGATCCCCCTAAACAGGGGCGGCGGAGCGACCTCCAAAGTGGGAGAGGGGCAACAACAGTACCTACAAAGGAAAATCTCAAAGCAAAATTATACAATTCTTTTATACATTGGTATATACCCCTACATTGTGAAATCAAGGAATGATTCAGTAATTATTGTGTCTCTCAATCATTATACGATAATTGCTGAAGCTGGATATCTGAACATTCGTTTGCGAGCGATGAAAATTTGTAAGATTTGTGAGGTCGCAGTGCGAAAATTACATCTGATTAGTAGAAAAAACACACAATCCTGATGGGGTTATAGGCATATTCTCATAACGGAAGACTGAAAAGACCTTTGATAAGTAACGTAAGTATATCATCTATAAATGCGAGAAATCGTATCGAGCGAGCTTTGGGGAAATTGCTATTAGCTGCTTTAAATTAGGGACACGTATAATAATTAAAGGACAAGTTCACTCGAAAAATAACTTACTTTCAATAAAAGCAGAAAAATCAGACAAACCAATCACACAAAGTTTGAGCAAAATCGGATAACCAATAAGAAAGTTATGATTTTTTGAAAAAGTATGTAAAACTATGGAACAGTGAGAATCACGACACAATTTGCCAAGATGGTTGTCAGTTTGTGACGTCATGTCCTCACAACTTATCAATTGCTTTATATAGTTTAATCCTATTAATTTCCCTTTTTATCCCCCAAAACTTGATTTCCCCATGCCATTGCCCAGGTTATATGATTTGTATCATATTGCGTGCATGACATTTCCCCAAAACTTTTATGAATTTTGAAGAATTGATACTATTTTCTGAATACTGTTTTTCATAAATATTGATTTTTATATAAATAGCTTATCAAAATTCAATTTTTCATGAAGTAACTGGACATAAATTACTCTTTATTTGTGCATCCACACATAAAAATATTACTAACAATCTAACTTGGATGCTGGTGTGAAGAAATAAGATTCTTAGGGTGAAAATAGGAAATTTATCAATATAAAGAAAATAATTAGTGGATAGTGAGGACCATACGTCACAGACTCCTGAGTGAGTTGCCAATTTGTGTAGTGATTTTCAAAGTTTTTCATGTCATTAAAAATTCAAAACTTTCTTATTAGTTATGCGATTTTGCTCAAACTTTTTTGATTGGGTTTGTCTGATTTTTCTGGTTTTATTGAAAGTAAGTTATTTTTGGAGTGGACTTGGGCTTTAAAGGAAAAGGGACACTTATCGAAAGGGATAAGACACTTATTCGAAAAGTAAAGGGGCACTTATCGAAAGGGGTGAGCCTATAGAAAAGGAAAGGAGCACGTGTCAGAGTAGGCCTACGTACAAATGGAATTAATCAGAGGTGAAAATGGGGCACTTCTTACACCTGAAAAGAGGCACTCACCGGGAATTTAAAAAAAATTACCTATGGCTATAATAATGGGAAATGGGCATTTGTTGACGGAAAAGCTTCATCCATTAAACTTTGTTAGGGGCATTTATAAGAGGTTAAAAGGGGCATTAATGAAATGGGGATAGATCCCTTATTGGAAAGTAAAAGGGGCACATATCATTGTTGAAAGGGAAATTATCAGAGAAAAAGGGGCACTTGTTGTACCTTAAAGGGGGCACTAACCGAATATGAAAAGGGGCACTTATGATAACGAAAATAGGGCACTTATAATTCAGGAAAATGTGCATTTGTTGAAAGAAAAGGGGCATTTATCGGAGGTGAAAGGGGGCCCCGGCCCCCCACTCGGGATCGGAATGACCGCATGCGTGTTGCAAAAATGTCCGGTAAAGGGGTACTTTTCGTGCGACAAAATCCGGCCCGAGAATTGTAAAAAAAGGGGTGTATTTGACTTTTCACCCGGAGATTTCTTTAAAAAGGGGGTGTTTTTTCTTTTTTTCTCCCATCTCTTTGGACTTCTGAGAAATTGTTCCGAATTTCGGGGGGTACATTGAGCATTTTTCCTGATTTAGGGGGGTATCCAAGGCAGGAAAAGCCCGCGAAAAGCCCGCGAAAGGGGGGTTCGAAAATGTTGGCAGTCCTCAGATAGGGGGTGCTTTCAAAAAGAGGGAACGAGCATAATGCGTACCCTAAATAACACTGAGTGGGGGGGGGGGGGCGGGAAGGGGGCTTGGATGAAAAGGGGGAAGTGGTTCTTATGCAGACAAGGGCCACTCAGAGATGGAAAGAGCACTTATCAGGAAGGGAAGGGGCTCTTGTGAAAGTCAAAGGGGCCCCTCTCAGATTTGTATAAGGCAATTATCTGAGGTGAACGGGGCATATATCAAAAGTGAAAAGTGGCATTTTTCGTGCCTCAAAGGGGCACTTACTAGAGATTAAAAAGGGCACTTTTGAGAATGGAAATTAGACACTTATGTCAAAGGAAAATGGAAACTGATCGAAGGAAAATGGGCATGTGGTAAAAAGGGCACTTATCAGAGGTGAATAGGAGAAGGGGCGCACTTTTACAAAGTATTCGGGGCACTGCATTTCCTCTGTAAAAGAGGCACTTTTGGGATGCTTAAACAAATGAGGTGGTGGTCACTCTGCTCCCCCTCCCCACCCCCCCCCCCCCCCCCCCCGCTGTAGCGCCGCCTCTGCCCCTAAAGTTAGTGGCGAGGAACACCCACAGAACTAGAACTATGTATTTTACAGTGCTGTGGGGACACACCCCCACCCGGTCCTTCTTGGTATCCTCTGCGACTAGCTCTCTGTATACTGTAGATAGCAAGATTTCAAGATAATCGACGCAGATGGCGCTCTATGCTTTAGTCAGCACCGGCTTTTAATTGATTGTTGAGCGTCGGAACTTCGGAGGTAAATTTCTCTATTTACGCCAACCCTGTTCATCCAAGATCATGGTGTCTATTGAACAACTTTATAAGGATTATGAGGTGCTTGCTGAAGCCGGAGCAGATGCTGGCCAGGTAATTATATGCATGCGTTTTACTTCAAGTTCATGTAATTTATTATTAGTGTCCACCTCGAATTTGCACACGCCAGTCACTGCTCTTTATACTGTGTGCAGCTGTGACAAATTGCTGCTGTGTGTAAATTGAATGAACAAAAAGTGGTACGGCTTTTCCGGTCACCCGATCCTATTGTAAAACATTGCAATTTTGGCGTGATTTGATATAAGTGTGTTGTAATTTGTGAATGATGTGGATATCATGTCTAGATAATTGTACAGTTTCTGACCAAACTTCAGAAGAAGGCAGAACACGGTCAGAAGTGAACAAAAAATAGAATTCAATTCAAAAGTAGATGCCAATCATGGAGGGTTGTGTGCGACTTTGAGACCTTTTTTAACCTGCATCGGCAAGCAGCAAGATGTGCAGCTGGTGCCTACGATACACGACGCCAGCCCAGTCCCGTGAATTATTGCCATTAGACCTACGTCTATGTGCGAAAGTGTTGAGGCCAATTTTTCCTTGGCACACATCCTGTAAGTTTCAGAGTTTGTTTCGGTAATCAAACCACCAAGATATTTCATATGCAGGTAGACCCTAGGCCCTACATAGATAAATATTCTATCGAGAGATATATAATTCGAAAACGTTTTTAAGTTCCTTCGTTGAAGTCGACGCTTTGAATATTTACAACTGTACAGTTAATCTTTGGTTGCTCGTACTCGTAGCTCTGGTTCTGATCATCGCACAAAAAATTAATTGAAGAACGATGCAAAGTGGTATTCCCTGACGTGTCGATCGATACCGTATTCATGATGTAGACTCTAAGCGCTAAAATAGCAGCGCTCCAGCGATTTGAGTGAGTTGCCAAATTGTCTAGTGATTTTCAAAGTTTTTCATGTCATTAAAAATTCATAACCTTCTTATTATTTATCCAATTTTGCTCAAACCTTTTTTGATTGTTTTGTCTGATTTTTTTGCTTCTATTGTAAGGAACTTATTTTTGGAGTGGACTTGCCCTTTAATCTCTATGGGGGCTCGGGCGAATTAGCCCCCAAAATGCCAAAAAGAGCCCCAGAAAGTCATAAAAGAGCCCAAAAAATTTGCATAGAGTTCAATGCAAAACAAATTAAAGAGTGTTATTTTCATGCAAGAAAGCTTGAAAGTAGCCCCCCCCCCCCCAATTTTTTAAATAATTTTTTCCCTGCTCCTTTTGGTTACCGGTATATTTTTCTTCTTGTTTTTTGTCTCTCCCAGCATGAGTCGTCTTATGCATCCATCTTGAGTGCAGTAGGTGGGGATTCCCCTCAGAAGCAGCTCGCTGGTCAGTTCATCCCAAAGTTCTTCAAATACTTCCCCTCTCTGGCGGAGCAAGCAATCAACGCTCAGCTCGACCTCTGTGAAGATGATGTCTCTATGGTACGTCATCACATTCAATTCAATCCATTCAATTCATTTCAATTCAATTCAATTCAATTCAATTCATTTCAATTCAATTTTTTTAAATTTTTTTTCTGTCAGTCCTGAACAAGCCTTTTTGTTCTTTGATAAAAAGATATAGGTCTGTTTTAAGCATTATTAACAAAGGACCTTGGTGTATTCACTGAGCTCTGTGTTATCTGAACAAGCTTTTATTGTTCTGCCTCAAAAAAGGTTCCAAAAGGTGATATAAGTGAGTAGTAAAAAGTGCTCCTTGTGCAAGTAAAAAGAAGCTCCTTCTTCAATTACTTCTGACGCAGTGTTACCCCAACCAGCTGCCTCTTAAACAGTTCCAGAGAAGAACCTGCTGTCACAGCGGTAGGGAGCTCTTACATTCTGGGATCATTACAATCCTGATATTCATTCTCTCTCTCTCTCTCTCTCTTTAGATTCGTAGACAAGCGATCAAGGAGTTGCCCAACCTGTGTAGAGACTCTGCTGATCATCTGCTCAGGATTGCGGATGTCCTCACACAGCTTCTCCAATCAGACGATCTCCCTGAACTCAACATTGTACGATCAGCTCTCATGGCACTCTACAACATTGATTCCAAAGGTAAGCTTTTCATTTCACAATGCTCTTCATTCATTTCCTTGACAGGGGCTTTTTTCTTCTTCCAACATTGAACCTATTGCTGACCCTTCCCCTCCCCCCAAAACTCCTCTGCCCAAACCCCCACCCACCCCCAAAACAATGGAATGATAAAAAATTACAAAATTAACAACATTTGCAGTGTTGGTTGCCTTGTGCACATACATTGTAATGGTAAAGTGCTATTAAATGCTCTTTTGAATGTCAAGCAAATATATTTTTATATAAAACCTGAATATTTTATTTTATTTTATTTTTTTGGCGGGAGAGAGAAAGAAAGACAGAGAGAGGTAAAGAGAGAGAGAGAGAGAGAGAGAAAAAGATAGATAGAGAGAGAGACAGAGAGAGAAAGAGAGAGAGAGAGAGAGAGAGAGAGAGAGGGGGGTGGGTGGGGGAGACTTGTGACAAGTTTACAGGTCGCCTTACCCATGAATGTGAAGATCCCCTAGCACTTTTTGTAAAAGCGTTGTCAGAAAGCCTGATGTAGGAGTCCAACTGCGCATCATCAGTCAAAACAAAAGGAGTGATGTACATGTAAGGGTTATAGTGATTAATTTTTTGCGTTTCCCATGCTAGACATAGAGTATGAAGTGTGACATCATGTACTGGCCAAGTTGTCAAGGTTGCTGGTTCCGATCAATTTTTTGCAAAACAATGGTGGGCTGATCACACCAGCCCGAAACCAACCCTGAATTTACCCTACTCCAGCCCGTTGCTTGAATGATTTTGCGCTGAACCTCATGCGCAGGCTCTGTTGTTTAGAACCAGTAACCTGGACAACAAGTGAATATGGCGTGAGCACTTCGGTACTCTATGTACAGGTATAGATGATGCTAAATAATAATAAATAATAATAAAAACGTTACTTACTGTATAAAGCCCTTACCACCGAAGTCTCTAAGCGCTAATACTTCATAACCCAGGTGATGTAAATGGGTACCTGGCAGGAATTAATTCCTTGAAATGCTAGAGCGCCACAATGGCAACACAGCTAAAGCTGGGGTAATAATCCCCAAGTTTGTAAGCGCTTAGGGATCGTAATAAGCACTATATAAAAACTGAGTATCATTATTATTATTATTTTACCTCGCATCATCTCATTTTCTAGGAACCCTCGGTGGGCTCTTCAATCAGATCCTATCAGGAGATGACAAAGTGAGAGATCGTGCGATCAAGTTCCTTAACAACAAGATCCAGACCCTGCCTCCAGACCGTATCCCCAAGGAGGTGGAGGAGTTTCTGGTAGAGAAGACTAAAGAGGTATGTATGCTAAGGCTGTGCACAACCATGTAATGAGGTACCAGAGTACACTCCCAGGCTTACAAGCGAATACTCGAATATTTGGACGCCATGTTTTTTTAAATTTAAAATTTATTTACGCATGATTGATTTTTTCTTTTCGCACTGAGCAAACCCCAAAACATATTTGCTGGTTCTTAAATTCGCGTTGCACATAGTTCAGCCCGTTCAAAACATGCATAAGAAGTCACGCTTATATTTTCCCGAGCTCTATAATTCACGTTTACCAATCTTAAGCTACGGTCACAACCTCCAAAAGTAGCCTGCTCGGCGGCCGGGCGGCAAGTTTTTAGCCAATGTCACCCGGGTACACATCTTCTAATAATTCATAATTCCTGCAAAGTTCTACAGAATTTGGTGTTGGCTGCAAAAGGGACATAGTATCTTTAACAATATTTAGATATATATTTACTTATCCATAATGTGATGGAGCATCTGTGCCCCCTTCTACTCTTTCCCTTCATATCCATTTGTGTATCTTTATGACAGGTCCTAGTGGATGTTACTGGTGAGGAGTTTGTAATCTTCATGAAGCTTTTGACGGGACTGAGTAGTATGCAGACGTTACTAGGCAGGAAGCAATTACTTGACCTCGTCACAGAACAAGCTGACCTTTCATCAGATTTCCAGGTCAGTACATTAAGCATGAAGTTGTTTTTTAAATATGCATAATTTATTTTTAAAATGTGCTTATGCGTTATGAAATTACTGTAATGAGGTAGTTAATATCTACTTTCTTCTTATCTTTCATTCATCAATAAAGAGAGAAATCCCTGTCATGTTTGAAAATTATATAACATGTGCCGATCAGTCAAAACCTTAGAAGCAAGTTATCCAATATTTGCCTTGAGGCCTGAAAGAGTTATAAGTTCTCATAAGGATTTGAAATTATTTGTGAGCATTATTGTTTCTTTATTCTCGTGTGAAAGTATGCCATAAGACAATGAGTAATTTCTAAGAAAATGATTGCTCTTGAATAGTATTGATGATTTTAAGCAGGATTTAGAAATATTTGTCAACGTTGAACCAAAAACTATGTCACATGTCTGTGTAGCCCTGTGTACCCTCACTTGTGTTCAGTGTTTTTCATCGTTAAGGAATTCTGCACAAATTTTTGTTGTTTTTTTGTTGTTTAATGATTACAAAACCTCATAATACATATACTTATTCCTGTTGATAGTTTTGTCAATCATTAAATATATTTTCTGGACAGTTTGTCATTACATGCCCGGTACTCTACTTTATCTTTAACCCTCTCATTCCTATAGGATGGACCAGTTGAGTCTTTTATTATCAACTCCACTATTAGGAATTGTAATCCTGATAGTATAACTCAATTTTTGAAATATTCATTAAATTGCGTTGCATTTTAGTTTTCTCCTCATAAACGATACTTTTTTTAAAGCCCATCAATACTAGTGAACAGGAGGGATTAAACTACCCTGCAAGGTCACTGAACAGGTTGTTATCTCATCAGCTCAGCTCTCAATTAACATTTAAAAAAAGGATCATGGGGGACCAATGGTCACCGATTATGCATTGTTTGTTATATAGAGGGAGCAAGTAGCTATAAGTAGTGCAGTGTAGCTTTAATAGATTTGTTTAGTGATACTTTCATCATATTTTTTTTTTCTTTCTTTCCAGCACACAGACTCAGACTCAGTAGACAGGCTAATGCAATGTATTCGACAAGCTATGCCATTCTTTTCAGTAAGTGATATATCATGCAACGTAAGGGTGGTATGACCCATGCTACACCAACATTCGCTATTATATTATTTCTCCAAAATGGTTTGGCTGCGAGGGTCTAAAAGCATAAATGGAGAAGATAGTATAGGGGGATGACACTGCTTAACAGCAAGAAAATCATTGATATACCCAAGAGCGGCATCGTGGAGTTTTTTTAAAACTAGCGTCAAAACCTTGTATTTGATTCTATTTGACACATCAGGCTAAACTTGATTATGTGTGTATTGCCACATCTTACTGTCTCACAAATTATTTTGTATTCATTGTGTAATAAATTCTGTCACTTGAGCTGCAAGATAACCAATGAAGCAAGAAAGCTTTTTGTTACGAAAATATATATTTTGTGATTTTATGTTACAGTCAAATCTTCTTTAGTGTCCACCTGTCTACAAAGGCTATTTCATATCTGGTGAACCATGTAAAATATATAATATTATTAAATGTTTAATTATATATCTGATTTCTTGTCAAAATTACTCTTCTGTTGGATATGAAAAATAAAACTGAAACTGAAAAGACCACTTTGTGTGTTTCCCTTGGGCGCTCGCTATAGACAGGTTTGACTGTATTTTGTGTTTGACTTATATAATTTGTTATCAAATAATGGATGTACCTCTGCCATATTCTAATTTTGTTTCTCTCCATCATCTCTTGCTTAGAAAAACGTCCAGTCAACGGCGTTTGTGTCGTACATATGTGAACGTGTCCTCCCCAATCTCACCTCCCTGGCTTCAGCACCCGATGAGAACGGAGCTTCGGGCGAAGAGAAGAAGGACAAAGAGAAAGATTCAAATTCAGGAGGTGCCAAACTAGAAATGTTGAAGCTGCTTGCCGAGATGGCAGCTAACTGCGGAGATCTACCGGCCGAACCACACATAGCCAACCTGTTCAGCACGTTAGTGGTGAGTAGATTCTCTTGTTACGGCTCCCAAAATTGGTGTGTGTGTGTGTTTAAATCCCCACTGTCCTACTTGTAGCTACTTGCTCCCTCTATATAGAAAACTTCCCCAATCGGTGCCTGTTGATCCCCATGATCCTCTTTTTCTTATGTTAGTTGAGAGCTGAGTTGATGAGATAGCCACCTGTCAGTGACCTGGCTGGTTGGTCTAATCCCTTCTGGCCCAGTAGTATTGATGGTCTTTAATTGAATTTTTACAGACGTGTATCAATCAGATATAACGTCACCATCCGAAAGAGGTACTCATTTCGAACCTGCGTCCTCGGCTGAATTAGTTTGTAACTTCCATTGTTAGCTGGATTACAGGCGCACGCCACAACGCCCTGTTTGAACACCCTCCTTTCTTTTGTTTGTACTTCTTCTGTTCTCTCCTTGGAGGAAATTTAGATATATTACTCATCAAGAATGGAATGTTTATTTATTTCTTGTTTTGTCAGTGTGCCATATTTTGTATCCCCCAGGAATATGCCGGTGGGGTACTTTGGATTCAGCAGCGTTATGCGCTGCCTCCGCGTCTGCCGCGTCATATTCTTGTGTGCGCTCTAACTGCCACATTCCTTGACGGATTTCTTTCAAATTTTGTATGTAGGTGTATCTTAGTATAATCTACACACCTATATCTTTTGGTGACGCTGCCCCCAGTGTGACGTCTTCTATAGGGTAAAATGCAATATTTGTGTGAATGGTTGAGTTGTGTGCGCTCTATAGGCCACATTTTGCAAGGGATTTTGTTCAAATTTTGAACAAAAGTGTATCTTGGTGTAATCTACGAGCCTCCAAGTTTTGGTGACGCTGCCTCCAGTGTTCCGTCTTTTATAGGGTCAAAGGTCATATTTTGATAGATGTCTTGTGTGCACTCTAGTGTGCGGTCTAACTGCATCATTCCACAGGGATTTGTTTCAAATCTTGTATGGAGGTGTATCTTCGTATAATCTACACACCTATAACTTTTGGTGATGCTGCCCCCAGTGTTCCATCTTCTATAGGGTAAAATGCCATATTTTGGTGGCTGTCTTTTGTGCGCTCTAACTGCCACATTTCTTGACAGATTTCTTTCAAATTTTGTATAGAGGTGTATCTCGATATAAGCTACAAACTTGTCTGTAGGGGGGGGGGGGGGGGGTGTCATGTTTGAGAAGAGTGCAAAGAGCTGTGTGATATGGATTCACAACACCCTTTTACCACCAGCTGATATAAGATTACACCTGTGTGTAGGGAAAGGGGGGGGGGGGTGGGGGAGCAGGGGGCGGTTGTCATCTTTGAGAAGAGTGCAGAGAGCTGTGTGAAATGGGTTCACAACACCCTTTTACCACCAGCTGAAATGTGATTATACCTGTGTCTAGGGGAAGGGGGGGGGGGGGGTGGGGGAGCAGGGGGCTGTTGTCATCTTTGAGAAGAGTGCAGAGAGCTGTGTGATATAGGTTCACAACACTCTTTTACCACCAGCTGATATATGATTACACCTGTGTGTAGGGGGCAGGGATGGTTGTCATGGTTGATAAGAGTTGAGAGAGCTGTGTGATGTGGGTTACAACACCCTTTTACCACCAGCTGATACATGATTACACCTGTGTGTAGGGGAAGGGGGGGGGGGAGCAGGGGGAGGTTGTCATCTTTGAGAAGAGTGCAGAAAGTTGTGTGATGTGAGTTCACAACACCCTTTTACCACCAGCTGATATATGAATACACCTGTTTGTAAAGGGGGGGGGGGGGGGGTCATCATGTTTGAGAAGAGTGCAGAGAGCTGTGTGATGTGGGTTCACAACACCCTTTTACCACCAGCTGATATAAGATAACACATGTGTGTAAGGGGGGGGGGGGGGGGGGTCGTCATAGTTGAGAAGAGTGCAGAGAGCTGTGTGATGTGGGTTCACAACACCCTTTTACCACCAGCTGATATAAGATAACACATGTTTGAAAGTGGGGGGGGGGGGGGGGGGGGTCGTCATGTTTGAGAAGAGTGCAGAGAGCTGTGTGATGTGGGTGCACTTACACCCTTTTACCACCAGCTGATGTAAGATAACACTTGTGTGTAGGAGGGGGGGGGGGGGGGGGAGTTGTCATGTTTGAGAAGAGTGCAGAGAGCTGAGTGATGTGGGTTCACAACACCCTTTTACCACCAGCTGATATAAGATAACACATGTGTGTAAGGGGGGGGGGGGGTCATCATGTTTGAGAAGAGTGCAGAGATCTGAGTGATGTGGGTTCACAACACCCTTTTACCACCAGCTGATATAAGATAACACATGTTTGAAAGTGGGGGGGGGGGGGGGGGGTCGTCATGTTTGAGAAGAGTGCAGAGAGCTGTGTGATGTGGGTGCACTTACACCCTTTTACCACCAGCTGATATAAGATTACACATGTGTGTAGGGGGGGGGGGCAGGGGGAGGTTCTCATCTTTGAGAAAAGTGCAGAGAGCTGTGTGATGTGGGTTCACAACACCCTTTTACCACAAGCTCATATAAGATTACACATGTGTGTAGGGGAGGCAGGGGGAAGTTGTCATGTTTGAGAAGAGTGCAGAGAGCTGTGTGATGTGGGTTCATAACACCCTTTTACTACCAGTTGATATAAGATGACACATGTGTGTAGGGGAGGCAGGGGGAAGTTGTTATGTTTGAGAAGAGTGCAGAGAGCTGTGTGATGTGGGTTCATAACACCCTTTTACCACAAGCTGATATATGAATACACCTGTGTGTAGGGGGCAGGGATGGTTTTCATAGTTGAGAAGAGTTTAGAGAGCTGTGTGATGTCGGTTCACAACACCCTTTTACCACCAGCTGATATAAGATAACACATGTGTGTAGGGGAGGCAGGGGGACGTTGTCATGTTTGAGAAGAGTGTAGAGAGCTGTGTGATGTGGGTTCACAACACCCTTTTACCACCAGCTGATATAAGATTACACATGTGTGTAGGGGAGGCAAGGGGAAGTTGTCATGTTTGAGAAGAGCGTAGAAAGCTGTGTGATGTGGGTTCACAACACCCTTTTACCACCAGCTGATATAAGATAACACATGTGTGTAGTGGAGGCAGGGGGGAAGTTGTCATGTTTGAGAAGAGTGCAGAGAGCTGTGTGATGTGGGTTCACAACACCCTTTTACCACCAGCTGATATAAGATTACACATGTGTGTAAGGGGGGGGGGGGGGGGGGGGTCATCATGTTTGAGAAAAGTGCAGAGAGCTGTGTGATGCGGGTTCACAACACCCTTTTACCACCAGCTGATATAAGATTACACATGTGTGTAGGGGAGGCAGGGGGAAGTTGTCATGTTTGAGAAGAGTGTAGGGAGCTGTGTGATGTGGGTTCACAACACCCTTTTACCTACAGCTGATATAAGATTACACATGTGTGTAGGGGAGGCAGGGGGAAGTTGTCATGTTTGAGAAAAGTGCAGAGAGCTGTGTGATGCGGGTTCACAACACCCTTTTACCACCAGCTGATATAAGATAACACATGTGTGTAAGGGGGGGGGGGGTCATCATGTTTGAGAAGAGTGCAGAGATCTGAGTGATGTGGGTTCACAACACCCTTTTACCACCAGCTGATATAAGATAACACATGTTTGAAAGTGGGGGGGGGGGGGGGGGTCGTCATGTTTGAGAAGAGTGCAGAGAGCTGTGTGATGTGGGTGCACTTACACCCTTTTACCACCAGCTGATATAAGATTACACATGTGTGTAGGGGGGGGGGGCAGGGGGAGGTTCTCATCTTTGAGAAAAGTGCAGAGAGCTGTGTGATGTGGGTTCACAACACCCTTTTACCACAAGCTCATATAAGATTACACATGTGTGTAGGGGAGGCAGGGGGAAGTTGTCATGTTTGAGAAGAGTGCAGAGAGCTGTGTGATGTGGGTTCATAACACCCTTTTACTACCAGTTGATATAAGATGACACATGTGTGTAGGGGAGGCAGGGGGAAGTTGTTATGTTTGAGAAGAGTGCAGAGAGCTGTGTGATGTGGGTTCATAACACCCTTTTACCACCAGCTGATATATGAATACACCTGTGTGTAGGGGGCAGGGATGGTTTTCATAGTTGAGAAGAGTTTAGAGAGCTGTGTGATGTCGGTTCACAACACCCTTTTACCACCAGCTGATATAAGATAACACATGTGTGTAGGGGAGGCAGGGGGACGTTGTCATGTTTGAGAAGAGTGTAGAAAGCTGTGTGATGTGGGTTCACAACACCCTTTTACCACCAGCTGATATAAGATAACACATGTGTGTAGGGGAGGCAGGGGGGAAGTTGTCATGTTTGAGAAGAGTGCAGAGAGCTGTGTGATGTGGGTTCACAACACCCTTTTACCACCAGCTGATATAAGATTACACATGTGTGTAAGGGGGGGGGGGGGTCATCATGTTTGAGAAAAGTGCAGAGAGCTGTGTGATGCGGGTTCACAACACCCTTTTACCACCAGCTGATATAAGATTACACATGTGTGTAGGGGAGGCAGGGGGAAGTTGTCATGTTTGAGAAGAGTGTAGGGAGCTGTGTGATGTGGGTTCACAACACCCTTTTACCACCAGCTGATATAAGATAACACATGTGTGTAAGGGGGGGGGGGGGGGGGGGGGGGGGTCATCATATTTGAGAAAAGTGCAGAGAGCTGTGTGATGCGGGTTCACAACACCCTTTTACCACCAGCTGATATAAGATTACACATGTGTGTAGGGGAGGCAGGGGGAAGTTGTCATGTTTGAGAAGAATGAAGAGAGCTGTGTAATGTGGGTTCACAACACCCTTTTACCACCAGCTGATATAAGATAACACATGTTTGAAAGTGGGGGGGGGGGGGGGGGTCATCATGTTTGAGAAGAGTGCAGAGAGCTGCGTGATGTGGGTTCACAACACCCTTTTACCACCAGCTGATATAAGAGAACACATGTGTGTAGGGGGGGGGGGGAGGGCAGGGACAGGTTCTCATGTTTGAGAAGAGTGGAGA